GGCCTGGAGCTAGAATAGGGAAGTTTTTATTCAACAAGAGTCTAAAACTCCCTCTCGCCTTACCCTGAAAAGAAGGGCCAGAGAAGTCATTTAATGATTTTTCCTTCACAAAAAAAAAGAATTGATTCCAGAAAAAAAAGTAAAAAAAAAAATTCTTCGAAGCTTAGTCATTTAGAAACGTCTGTAGGTCAATTACAAGATGGCCGCCAAACGGAATCATATTATTATTTTAACATTTTTAAGTTCCTACTTACCTATGTTGTAAGCAACTTTTATCAGAAAGATAACGTTCCGGGTACAATATTGATCACAATTTGTATTTACACAAAGCTTATCTATGTAACGGTGATATCATACGACTGATAAGCAGAAAAATAGGCAGAAGTTGAAAAACTAACGGATATTCTTGTTTTAGGACCAATATACCACCACAGATGGCGCCCTATACGGCTGATGTTTAGCCGGGGTTGCGGGATAAGCGCAATGAGGCAGAGCTCGGCTCAGAGCTGGAGAAGAAACGCGGAGATTCTTAGTCAGTAAGAGTCTGACACTCTCTCTCGCCTTAACCTGGGCAGGAGAAGTCATTTAATAGTATTCCCCTGACAAAAAAAAATTAAACACACGAACAACAATTTTAAAACAAAAGAAAAGTAATACTTCTTGATTTCAATCTGTCGAATGATATTACAATTGTTTTGAATACGTAGATTCATAAAAAAAAACAATTTTCCTTCGTGGTAAAAAAAAAAATATAGGTACTAAAACAACGATTTTACACTCTATCAACACCGACTAAGATTCACTATCGACTGTAACATTTACATATTTTAGTGTCATTTGCTAACAACAGACTTCATGATTAATCTGATTCTTAGTATTATACTAAGAACAATCTTCGAAAGTTTATCATTCTAAGAAAGTATTCGATTCAAAATATATTGTTCCGGTTTTCGATAAAGGAAAATGTTAGGTTACCTACATATTATAGGTAACTAGCTACCGCCCGTGACTTTTTTTTTTAATCTTTATTTAGAAAAAAGGTTTTAATCGCAGGGCGATTATGCCAACCTTGTAGTTTTACAAAAATGGGAGAATGTTTAATTCTATGATCTTAACTATCTTAAGGAACAAAAAGTATAACTTAACAGCTAGTTTGGATGTAGGTTTAGATTACCACCCGTGACTTCGCCCGCGTGGTATGTTGATAAAAAGTAGCCTATGTAGTCCCATTCCGGAGTGTATACTATGCCTGTGCCAAATGTCATCCAGATCCGTCCAGTCGTTTTGGAGTGATTGAGTAACAAACATCCAAACATCGTAAATTTCGCATTTATAATATTAGTAAGATTAGGTAGTAATATATCGGTTCGGAAGTTATCATGCACATTGACATAATTTGCGTAGTTTAATGAGTGAAAAATAAATTACTTATTTTGACTTTCAATACCTACAATCAATTATAATCTATAGTCTAGACTATTATTAATATTATAAAGCTGAAGAGTTTGTTTGTTTGAACGTGCTAATCTCCGGAAGTGCTGGTTCAGATTGAACAATTCTTTTTTTGTTCGTTAGTCCACTTATCGAGGAAGGCTATAGGCTATAAAATATCACGCTACAATCTGAAGGAGCAAAACAGCGGCTGAAAGCGCGCGAGAGTAGCTAGTATTAAAATATATACCTACCTAATCATACTTACGTTCATTGATGACGATATAAAATTATTTTTAGTTTTTTTCTAGATATTTTTTCAGAATATTTGTTACCTATTTGACGTTTAAACATTATGATGTCATATTTCCCTACGTTGCGAAGTCATACCTACGAGATTCATAGAAAAGTATCGTTTTTCGTTACATTTCATTGAAAGTATGGAATTATTATAGATGAAAACTACCGGTTTATCTATATGGACGATGTTTCTTTTTACTCTGGAGATTTTTTTTTTGGTTTGAAAAGAGTAAGAACTATCTCTTTCCTCATGTCATACAGGTCCTTTTTTGTGATGGGAAAAGTTGAGTGTCAGACTCTTATTGACTAAAAAAGCCCCTGTTCCTTCTCCTGCTATAGGCCGAGGTCGCGGTACCTCATTGCGCTTAACCCGCGACCCCGGTCCTGTCTGTGGTAGTCTAATTGCTGTTTTTATGGAATAGAGCGCCAAACTTACAGACGGATCACCTGATGGTAAGCAAAAAGCCTACAATAACCTCATTATCAAGGAGATTTGGCCCTAAATAATCTCACTCACACAACGAAACACAACGCTGTGATTGTTTAACATCAGTTTTCTGTTAGTCCGTGGTATCACTCCGGTTAGCATTACCAGGCGTCCGGATCAAGCCGGACATAGGTAGGCTTTTTGATTGCTAGTCCGAACAAAATCAACGGTGTCCGGCCTGTCCGGCTTTTGTTAGGCTTTTTACCTAAACTTTTCGTAATCGCAAACGAATCATAATCATAATCATAATTCTTTATTTTTCGAATGACACGAAACACCGAATATGGCTGGAGCGAAGCAAAGATTTAGACTTTTATTTCATAAGAATTCAATAAGATTTATGACAATAATCAAAAGTGCTTGATTTACATTAAATCTTGTCGTACCTATTAATACTGAGATTCAAAATCCTTAAGAATGTAGGGTGTCCGGCCTTTTTAGTCAAATGTCCGGCTAAACGGGCTGGTCTGTCCGGCTATAAGGCCTAGCGACCTGGCAACCCTAACTCCGGTTGAGCCGTCAAATTCGTGCCGAAGCATGACACTCTCACACACTGATATGATATGTTAATATTATGACTAAAATGATATTGAATTATTAGAAAACCGTGACTTATTTGTTATTGGTATTCACCTGTGTCATGATTACCTAATAGCGTATAATAATATAAGCGTTCATTAATTTCATTGTTATTCAAACAACAAAAAGAGATTCACACCGGGTTTCTGAAAGGCTTGTCAACGCTAAAATTGACTAATCTCCTGTTAAATCTCTTGTCAAGTCATCTGATTCATCATCATCATCATCATCATCAGCCCTTTTCAGTCCACTGCTGGACATAGGCCTCTCCTATTGCACGCCACTGGGATCGATCTTCGGCCACTCGCATCTGATTGGTTGTTGATAATTCAGTCAACCAATCAGATGACTTAACAAGAAATTAAATTGATTTTAACATTGATCGGCCTTTCGGAAACTGGGTGTCAGTGTTACCACCAGAATATTAGTTTTGGTATTTGGAATTTTTGATAGGTCGGCAATTGAGAATCCGAATTACCTGATGAAGCAATCAGCGCCGCCTATGGACCCTCGCAACAACAAGTGCATTGCCGACGTTTTGGGGATTAGGATTTTGGGAGATTTAGGGACTTGGGAGATTAGGGGAAGGATTGGGTAACCTCAATCACACGGCGAAACACAACGCTGTTTTTTTTAAGTGATAGGACGGCAAACGAGCAGACGGATTACCTAATGGTAAGCAATCGGCGTCGCCCATGGACACCCTCAACAAAGAAGTAGTTACGAGTGCATTGAAGACCTTTTAAGGATTGGGATTTTGGGGATTTAGAGATTGGGAAGGGATTGGGGTAGGGGAAGGATTGGGCCTCCGGTAACCTCCATCACCGATTGTTTAACTCCGGTCGATCCGACCCATTCGTGCTGAAGCATGGCTCTCCCACACTTTTTCATTATTTTGAAATCACTTACCAAGTAACTTATTAAACCGCTTATGCGTCATCTATTTCCCGTATTCATTTCCTATTTTTATTGTCTTATCGGTTTCCGTTGCTTACGTCTGTAGCGTCAAAATATCGGAATGCATTCTCGGTAATTTACAAACACCTATGACGTGTCTTGAAAGCAGAATCTATTGCTGATATTTTAAACGCGAAAGCCTGTAAGTACAGATGAATGTTTGTTACTCTTTCATATAAAAAGTACTGAATGGATCTGTTCGAAATTTAGCACAGAGATAGATTATATTCTGGAAATTAAAATAGGCAATATTTTTTACGAGATAAGTCAGCAAACGAGCCTGCCTGCCTGATGGTAAACAATCTCAATGTCATCTGCAACACCAGAGGAGTTACGAGTGCTTTGCAGGCCTTATGAGGATTAGGGTTTCGGAGATTTACGGACTGAGGAGGGTTGGTAACTTCACTCATACAGCGAAACAGAACGCTGTGGTTATTCCACGTCGCCGCCCTATCACAGTTATAAAAACTAGAGATAAGTCAGTAATACTGATGAAAAGGAGGTTTATAACTAATAGCCCATTTTTATTAACGTCTTTCTAAAAGTAATGAAAGGCTTTTTATATTATGCTATCGACCTGGCTTCGGACGGGTGCAATGTTGATTCTAAATGTCTTCACTATTTAATGGATGTTATTTTACATAAACTTTCCTCCTCCTCTCTCTCTCTCTCTCTCTCTCTCTCTCTCTCTCTATCTATCTATCTATTAAAAAGAAAGTAGTTTTAAAGATTTAAGCATTCATAGGGATGTAGGGACTGAATATCAATCTCTTGACGATATATATGATGGATGAATTGAATATACGAGAAGTACAAAAACATATTATTATGTAGGTATGTTCAACATCAATTGTATTTGATAAGAGCCAATGTCAGTAAAGGACATCGAAGAAGGTTGTGTGAAATCTACCTCATTGATCCTACGGTTGCTAGGTCAACTGCTTAGTCCTGAATCAGAAAGAATTTCAAATCGAGTAGTTGTGTAAATATTAAATCAGAGCTCTGACATTCTCATCAAAAATTACGAAATCTGATGTTATGTTGTGTAACTGACTGAATAACAAACCCATTCATGTACTTATAAAAATAACCTACATCTCAATGAAACTAACCTTCAAAAATATGAACTTTGGTAAGAGCAATAAACGCCATGAAAAAATCTGATAGCAAAATCGCTCAAGGACACCGGACCCAAAAACGTTCCTTGCGGGACGCCGCCCAAAGTATGCTACAAAATACCGCTCGACGCAGCGTTATCAGCGTTATCAGCCATTATATCACCCACCTTTACACTGAATTTCGAAATAAAGATAAGATACGGTTAGAAAACTAGTCACACATATTAAATAAAATTGTTACATTGTATCGTTGGGTGTTGAACGCGTCGGTGGAATCAACGAAATATAGAAACGTTAAAGTAGGATTTATTCCTACAGTGTGTGCAGTGAAAATGGGTTTCAAAGAACTAGTTCTGTTTGCGTGTGTATTAGCAGTGTCTTTTGGACAAGAATGTAAGTTTTAGGCAATTATATAACATATTTTTAACGATAGTATTGTAGATAAGGAACGGAAAAATGGCGGTATCGGTATCGATGAATCGATATTTCAAATTTGATTGCTGGAAAAAATGTAGTTTACTTTATTAAAGACGTGTTTATTTAAGAGATTATCTTTAACCACGCCCAATGATAATAAAATTAGATTCTATTTAGAAAAATGATTGTTTATCGCACAATATTTTTCTCTATCTTACCCTGGATCAAATGGCGCCTTGGGCGAGGGAAAGGGAGTGTCTCTCTTACTGACTAAAAGCCACTCTGTTCTTTCTCATACTTAAGGACAAGGTTACGTACTTTTACCCTTAAGGCTAAAAAGGCGTGTCTCTTAAGCGGCTAATAGTATGCTATGGTAAACCAATAGCCAACCCACAATTTCTATATATTTGAATATGGGTTTAGTTTATCTATTTGACAATTCGCCCCTGATAAAATCAAGTTCCAAATGATAAGGGCCCGTTATCAGTTTGTACAAGAACGGATAGAATCCCAATTTTTGGAGGTTACTTAGGATTTTCGGTACAAGTTTACCTTGTCCGTTATTATTGAACACTCCTTATTTTTAACGTGTAAGTTACCTACCTTAAGCCGGGTGCGTTTTCCCGGCTTCTTCGGTAAATGTATCGAATTTTTTCTTTTATAGGTACTAAAGATTATTATTAATCGTTTTCCAAGATAAATTGGAATTTCGATTGTCATAACAACATGGTAATAACACACGAATCCGTGAAATACTTATTCCAAGTAGGTAAATTTTCGACGTTGATAATTCGAAAATCGTATTATTTTCCCCCTTTATTATCGCCAATCCTCAAATCCCTAACCTAACCACAATTTTTTTTCGAGCAGATTGCTTACCATCAGGAGAGTGTAAAGGTCGCTTACCATCTTATTCCATGAAAAAAAATATTATCAATCTCTTAATACAATAGTAGTCAAGATTTCAGTTTCAAAAAAGGGCTGCACCGTGGCGTTTTTCGCACTTTTTCTTTTAGTTATTTCTTGTGCATGTATATCATTATATTACTTCTCCAGCCCTGGGTAGGTCGAGAGGTAGTGTCAGACTCTTACTGACTAAAAACCCCCCGTTCTTTCTCCTGCTCTGGGCCAAGGTCACGGTATCTTATTGCGCTTGGTCACCGGTCCTCGTGGGCCCCATCTATTGACTTTTTTACTTTGTCTAATCCTTAAGCTTATGTTGACATGTAAACAGCGACTCATGTAGTGTAGAGATTGTCCAGTCAACTGATGGTAGCGAGGTTCACTGTCCAGTGACACGCGTACGCTGGTATCGTCATGGGGTTAATGTTGCCATGTAAACAGCGACTCGTGTAGTGTAGAGATTGTCCAGTCAACTGGTGGTAGCGAAGTTTACTGTCCAGTGACACACGTACGCTGGTATCGTCATGGGGTTAATGTTGACATGTAAACAGCGACTCATGTAGTGTAGAGATTGTCCAGTCAACTGACGGTAGCGAGGTTCACTGTCCAGTGACACACGTACGCTGTATCGGCATGAGCTAATGTTGACATGTAAACAGCGACTCATGTAGTGTAGAGATTGTCCAGTCAACTGATGGTAGCGAGGTTCACTGTCCAGTGACACACGTACGCTGTATCGTCATGAGCTAATGTTGACATGTAAACAGCGACTCGTGTAGTGCAGAGATTGTCCAGTCAACTGATGGTAGCGAGGTTCACTGTCCAGTGACACACGTACGCTGGTATCGTCATGAGCTAATGTTGACATGTAAACAGCGACTCGTGTAGTGCAGAGATTGTCCAGTCAACTGATGGTAGCGAGGTTCACTGTCCAGTGACACACGTACGCTGGTATCGTCATGAGCTAATGTTGACATGTAAACAGCGACTCATGTAGTGTAGAGATTGTCCAGTCAACTGATGGTAGCGAGGTTCCCTGTCCAGTGACACACGTACGCTGGTATCGTCATGAGCTAATGTTGACATGTAAACAGCGACTCATGTAGTGTAGAGATTGTCCAGTCAACTGATGGTAGCGAGGTTCACTGTCCAGTGACACACGTACGCTGGTATCGTCATGAGCTAATGTTGACATGTAAACAGCGACTCGTGTAGTGTAGAGATTGTCCAGTCAACTGATGGTAGCGAGGTTCCCTGTCCAGTGACACACGTACGCTGGTATCGTCATGAGCTAATGTTGACATGTAAACAGCGACTCATGTAGTGTAGAGATTGCCCAGTCAACTGATGGTAGAAGACACTAAGCTTATGATTATTACAACAAGGTCACCAGCCTATAAGTGTCCACGGTTGAGCAAAAGCCTCCTCTCACACGGATTTAATTTACTTATTAAAGCGTGGTGATTAATGCTCAAACCTTCTCCGTGTCAAAAGCGGATTTATGAGAACATGTCAGGAAAATTGCAATTATTTGGTAAGGTGTCAGACAGACATAAATATCTAATTAAACATAGAGATAGATTATGTGTAATGCCTTATTAATTGGATTGGCAAAGCTACACAAGTCGTTCATGGGATTCTGTGAAAAGAGTTCTTGTTCGTTCTTCTTCATCGGAATCTAAACTTTGGAACGAGCAAATAGCTTCACTAAGAGGACTGACCGACAGACTGACACTATATATTTTTTAAATTTAGTTTGTCGTTCAAAAGTGCCTGTATGGGTCTAATTCAAATACTTAAATGATTGTGACTTTTGACTTTGACTTTGATTTTAATGATGATGATGATGATATTGATGAAAAAGGCTCGGAGGTGAAACGCCACCAAATTTTTTCACTTGTTAACGTATTTTAATTCGTCAACCCCCAAGCGAACGCCGGCGTTTACGCATCTATTGTTCTTCTACTGTGTCTCGAACTACAACTAATAAAAGGTAAATTATAGTTTCCTTGACAATAATAGTTACTTGGCAACATTTGTAGGTAATATGATAATTGATAATTTTAATATAATTACAACAAGTGTTTTGATAAGATAGTCAATTCTCGAGTTTGTATTGATGGCACGTGATCGTGGCCTAATTTCGATTTACCTGATGGTAAGCAATCAGCGCTGGCCGCCTCGCCACTCCGCGCCTTCACGGGTTTAGATTACACTCTAGGGGTAGGGCAGACCAAAGGAGGCGGATCCTCTTCCTCACCCCCCAACCGCACGTAGGCGACACCCCGTCGGAGATCAAGAGATGATCTCCGACCACCGTAAGCATGGGTCTGCGGACGGCGAGTAAGGGTAGCTCGCCGCCCGACCAGAACCAGACCCGAGTGTACGACGCGTAACGAGCTAAAAGACCACCACAGACGGGGCCCTATAGAGCTGATGTTCAGCTGGGGTTGCGGGGTAACCGAAGCGGCCTTTGCCTAGAGCAGGAGAAGGAACGGGGAGGTTTTTAGTCAGTAAGAGTCTGACACTACCTCTCGCCTCACTATCGGCGGGAGAAGTCATTTGATAATTTTCCCCTGACAAAAAAGGGGTAGGGCAGACAAGACTACGTGAAGCCGGTTTCGCAGCGATTCGTTTTTGACACTATTTTTTTAGCACACCGTAGTGATTGTTCATAACAATATTTTTGGTTTCAATATGAATAATAAAATTATTTCTATTGAAATTCTGTCATCTTTGTAGTATGCTTAGTCAAATTATGCCAAATAATCGGCGCTCTAAATAAACGTTATTAATATGCTAAACCACAGATTACAAAACAAAAGCAGATAGACCGTGCAGAACATGAAAGTGAAGCCACCAAAGCCAATACAAATTCAAAAGCGAATACAAACTCGAGTCAGTACGTCACGAAGTGTTACATCGATAATACGTCATAGATAATATTTATATTTTTGAGAATAACGCCATCTTGTGTTCTCAAAAATTTTTTAAATTGTTTTCAAAAATAAAGAGATTTCCATTGATAAATATTGATTATTTATCTATTTGGGTATTATTTTACGTAATAATTATTTTTAATATGAAATCTTGGAACACAAAACCTGGTCTTTGTTGCTAGTTCACTTTGAAATCTTTTACCATTAAGTTTGGGTAGTACATTTTAAAGCGTCTACTTACCTAACTCCCTTTTTTTGTCAAGGGAAAATCATCAAATGGCTTCTCCCGCCCAGGGTTAGGCGAGAGAGGGTGTCAGACTCTTACTGACTAAAAACCCCCCCGTTCCTTCTCCTGCTCTGGGCCGAGGCCGCGGTGCCTCATTGCGCTTACCCCGCAACCCCGGCTGAACATCAGCCCTGTAGGGCCCCGTCTGTGGCTATAGGGCCCCGTCTGTCTGTGGAGTTACCTAACTCCCTAAGAGATGGCGCTGTAGCTGTACTTTTGCTCTTTGCGCTGAATTGCGGCTTTAAGATTTAGAATAAGTAACTCACTTATTGTGACAGACGGGAACCTACGGAACCCTACACTGAGCGTAGCCCGATACACTCTTGGCCGGTTCTCTCTTAAACCACATTGAAGCATGGCTCTTCCACACTAATTGTCTCGGTGATTCAGGGTTTAATTGTTTTTGTCTTCTGGAGATACTGGTGTACAGAAGGCGCAGAGGTTTTAGGAAGATTTCTTTATAGGATAAGACGGAACGAACAAACGGATTACCTGATGGTAAGCAACCAGCGCCGCCCATGGACACCCGCAACAACAGATGAGTTACGAGTGTGTTGCCGACCTTTTATAGATTAAGGATATGCAGATTTAGGTGTTGGGAGAGGTGAAGGATTGAGCCTCCAATAACCTCACTCACACGGCTATACAAAACGCTGAGGTTCTTTCACGTCGCTTTTTTGTGAGGCCGTGATCACTCCGGTTCAGCCGACCCATTCGTGCCGAAACATGGCTCTCCCACACTTGTCTCGGTGATTCAGTGTTTTAGTGGTTACTAGCATTTGCAAGCGACTTGGTTCGCGTAGAATAGTGACTTCCTGCTGATTTTTGGTTTAAAAACTATCCTATGTCCTTTCTCGAGTTCCAAACTATGTCTGTACCAAATTTCACACAAATAGGTTCAGTAGTTAAGGCGTGAAGAAAAGACAGACAGACAGAGTTACATTCGCATTTATAATATTAGTATAGATGTCTACTGTAAATACTGATGCACAGAAGTTGCTTCGGTTTTAAGAAGTTGTAGAAATCGAATTCTTACTAATTTTTTCAACTTACTCCGTCCGGTTAGTCATTTCGCCGCGCCTAGTCCTTATCGGAATACCAACAAGATTACCCGTCACTAAATACATAAATTTACGATAAATAACGTCTACCTAGAAATTTGAAATACCGTCACGATTTTCTATTACGTATTTCCAAATAGAAAAATATCTATGATACTTTTCTGCACACGCAAAAACTCTTTGTGTGATCCACAAATTGTTGTTCCGTGGGTCTGGGTGTGGATTGTATGTTTGTAAATGCACCCACGACACAGGAGAAAATCCAAGTGTGGCGCCACGTTTGCAAAAGTAAAGAAAAATAAGAAAGGTTTAGACTGAGATCATCAGACATGCTTCGGCACGAATGGGTCGGCTCGACCGGAGTGATACCACGGCCTCACATAAAACCGGCGTGAAACTGCCACAGCGTTGTGTTTCGCCGTGTGAAAGAGGTTACCGGAGGCCCAATCCTTGCCCTCTCCCGATCTCTCCCCAATCCCTAAATCTCTAAAACCCTAAAAGTTCGGCAACGCACTCGTAACTCCTCCGTTGCGGGTGTCCATGGGCGGTGCTGATTGCTTACCATCAGGTAATCCGTCTGCTCGTTTGCCGACCTATTACATAAAAAATCAAGTCAAGTCAAAAATCATTTATTCCAATTAGACCTTTACTGGCACTTTTGAACGACAAACAAAATTTTGAAGATATAGTGTCAGTCTGTCGGTTAGTCCTCTAGTGAAGCTATTTGGTCGTTCCAAAGTGTAGATTCCGATGGAGAAGAAAGAGCAAGAAACTCCATGGTTACTCTTTTTAAGTCAGTTTCACATACAGATTCCTTTTGCAAACAGTTGGTTCAATTATGTGAGAACAGAGAGAGTGTAACACTAACATTTATTCAAATATAAAAATAAAGTAATAAAAAATATATTAAAATACATATATTTATTTCTAACTGTATTGTTTTTATTTCATTCACAGACAAAGTATGCGTAACGACCTCAGTAACGAATTCAATTTGCCAGAGCTTAAGCATCAACGACAGTCGATTCACGTGTCAACGAGTTGAATCAAGGTAAAAATTTAAATCATTACCACTATCAATATCAATCATACAGCCTATAAGTGCCCCGAGGGTCTGCAGGCAGCGAGCAAAGGTATCTCACCGTCCAACCAGAACCAGAACTAGACCCGAGCGTTTCGCGCGTAGATGTCTGCGTGCGCCTCAAACACCACTACAGGCCCAACCGGGTTCATTGTGAGAATCACCCAGAGGACACGGTGGAGCCTACGGCGGTGATGTGCCCTGCTTGGGCAGAGCAACGCCGTGTACTCAGGAGAGTGATCGGCGGCGTCGACCTCTCGCGCCCGGCCATGGTGCGGAGCGAGAGCAAATGGGAAGCCGTCTCCTTTTTCTGCGAAGCAGTTATCCTCCTCCTCGAGCCCCAGCCGTCGCAGTAGACAACACTTTATCGGGGATCAAGAGATGATCTCCGGCCATCGTAAGCGCGGATAGCTCGTTGCCCGATCAGAACCAGACTCAAGCGTTCAGCGTGTAGCGTTCCGTGCTCACTTCAAAGAGCCAATATACCACTACAGACGGGGCTGGGGGATGTTCAGTCGCGGTTGCAGGGCAAGCGCAATAAGTTGCCGCGGCCTCGTCCTGGAGCAGGAAAAGGAACGGGGTGTTTTTAGTCACTAAGAGTCTGACACTCCCTCTTGCCTCGCCTCGCCCAGGTGGCGAGAGAAATGGCTTAATAATTACCCCTTTAAAAAAGGACTTACTAACTTACTCCTATTTGGTCTGGTGGTAAGCTATGACGCGACCTTCGATGGAGCACGTCTACCCATAAGCAACATATACACTTGGGCCTTGAAGGCACCCAGGTTATACCCTTCAGGGAATACAGGCGAAGTGTGGGAGAGCCAAGCTTTGGCAGGAATAGGTCAGCTCGACCGAAGTGATACCACGGCCTCACAGAAAACTGGCATGAAACAACCACAGCGTTGTTTTTCGCCGCGTGAGTGAGGTTACCGGAAGTCGTTAACTGCACGGTTGGTGCGGTGGCTGGGCAGCGTGTCGTGGATTCGATTTCCGCACGGAACAACTCTTTATGTGATCCACAAATTGTTTTCCCGGGTCTGGGTGTCATATGTATGTAAATTGAATGTTTGTAACCGCACCAATGACACAGGAAAAAATCCAAGTGTGGAGCAAAATGTGTTAAATAAAAGTCCTACTTCGCGGTCACCAATCCCTCCACAAAACATCTCTGAATGGCTGGCACCGCACTCATAACTCCTCTGCTGTCCATGAGAGACGCTGATTGCTTAACATCAGGCAAGCCGTCGCCTCGTTTGCCATTTATCACTGTGGCAAAAAAATCTTGATACCAATAATTAATTAAAATGTTTTTTCACAGGGTGGAATGCGCACAGAAGTTGGTCAACAGAGAAGCCCATGTAGCATACTTCTCTGAAGAAGAGACTTTACTTCTGGCACAGCAACAACCTACAGAAAACAGAGTAATTGCTACTGTCAGGGATGTTAACAAATTAGGTAAGAACCAAATTGCGTCTCGACTTCTGCATTCATCATGAGCTTATAAGTGCCTACTGCTGAGCAAAGGCCTCTTCTCATACGGAGAAGGTTAGAGCATTAATCACCACGCTTGCTCAATGTGGGTTGGCGATTTCAAACTTGTAATTAGAAATTATAAGTCCAGGTTTCCTCACGATGTTTTCCTTCACCGTATGTCAGTGGTGTCTAAATAATCATAGAAAGTACATATAGCTCGGAAAAAGTCACATTGGTACTTGCCAGGTTTCGAAACCGGGACACCGCGACATGTTTCCTCGACTTCTGCAGTGCTAATCTGTAAATGGTCAATCTCATCTCGAAAGTAACACACCACTTCGCTTCTCATCTCACCTGTACACACGTCAAAATACTCACTTGTTTTAGTTCCTTTCACTTCGTTAATTACATGGTGGCGCTAATGTAGATTTCACTCCATTTGAGAATACGAAACTTTAAATAAACATGATTTCACCGCGGATTCAGAAGTTATTTCGCAAATTAACTTTTGAGAATAGCATAGCTGGCTAAAGCGTTATGCTTTACAGCTTAGCGAAGAAAATTCCTTTGAAAATGGGCTGACTAACACAAAAAAAGATTTTAGTAAATTCGATTCAGTAGTTCTGCAGGTTTTGCAAAAACAAACGTGTATTTTAAATACTTGGTCTATGTATAGTACTAAGACTTAAAGAAGCTGATGACGATGATGATGAAGAATCCAAAATAATTATAAAACATTTTTTTGTTAATTTAATACTACTGATTTTGGGTAATCATTATTGCAATGCTTATAAAAGGCTGCTACTATATCATAATGTAACTAACACCAAAATTGTACCTACACCCGTGCAACGTGTCGCGGGTTCGATTCCCGCACGGAACATCGGTGTCATGTGCATGTGCGATTGTATGTTTGTAATCGCGCCCACGACACAATTATTATAAAATTAAAATTAAAAAAAAATAACAGGAGAAAATACTTAAGTAACTAAAAAAAAAAAAACACAAAAATTGGCCAATTAGTGCTTTAACTTTGACTTTTGTCGACAGATAATTATGCATTCGAAGCTGTGGCAGTGGTTCCCATCAACCATACCAATGGATTGGAAGGTCTTCGTGGTGGAGTGTACTGTCACCCAGGATTGGATGAGACTGACCTGAGATGGTCTCCAAGAGTGCTGAAGACCCTTGAACAAATGGTAAGTTGTCATAAGCTGATTTACGTCTTTTGGTAGTCAAAGGACTGGAATAGCTTGCAACAGTCTTCCCGTCCAGTTGTGTGTCGTCAAGGCTAGAGTCAATATGCTCTTATAACTAGCGCGTCTTACCATCAACGATTGCATCACTGCTTACCATCAGGTGGGATTGCAGTGCAAAACTAGTTTGTATGATTAAAAAAAATCAAAAATGCTGATCACAATTTTAACTACCACATTTTTTGGATTTGTCTAAACCCTTGGACAAGGGTTATACGTATGGGAGAGGAACACAGAAAGCCGGCGTGAAACAACCACAGCGTTGGTTTTCGCCGTGTGAGTGAGGTTATCGTAGGCCCAATATTTGTTCCCCTCCCCTAATCCCTCCTTTATTTAAAATTCTAATGCCTAAAAGATTGGTTAAAGGAGTATGTTGGGCCTCCGGCTAAATGTTGTTCAAGTTGTGTTTCACAGTATTATATTATCAATTTGATCTGATAGAAAACTATAACTTTTCGATATGAATATCTTTAGTTTCTTGAGAGCTTGTCGAGACAAAATACCTTTTTTTTATGTATTTGGTCGGCAAACGAGCAGACGGATTACCTGATGGTAAGCAATCAGCGCCGCCCATGGACACCCGCAACGGAGTAGTTACGAGTGCGTTGCCGACCTTTTAGGGATTGGAGATTGGAGGGATTGGGGGCGGGGAAGGATTGGGCATCCGGTAACCTCACTCACACGGCGAAACACAACGCTGTGGTTGTTTCACGCCGGTCTTCTGTAAGGCCGTGGTATCACTCCGGTCGAGCCGACCCATTCGTGCCGAAGCATGGCTCTCCCACACTTAATAACCTAATTATACTTTACCCAACAGGCAGCACGCACAGACAGATGCCAGGATGTCAACACAGCTGGCAAAACAGCTGAAGAAATGGAGGTGGATACACTGAACAACTTCTTCTCAGCAGCCTGCAGACCAGGAACTTGGAGCTACAATGAGACCGTCGATGCTAATCTAAGTGAGTCTGGATTTTTAACTGACTTACACCCGGTTTCCGAAAGGCCGATCAATGTTAAAATCAATTTAATCTCTTGTCAAGTCATCTGATTGGTTGACTGAATTATCAACAACCAATCAGATGACTTGACAAGAGATTTAACAGGAGATTAGTTAATTTTAGCGTTGACAAGTCTTTCAGAAACCGGGTGTTAGTCTATAACCTTTCTCGATAAATGGACTATCCAACATACAAAATCGTTTTCGAATCGAAGCAGTAGTTCCTGAGATTGGCGCGTTCAAAGAAGCAGATGAACTATTCAGGTTAATAGTTTTAGTTTTGACTGGTGGCCGTTCTCCTCTTCTCTAGGAGAGGGTTTCGCTGCGTTGGACCTGATAAATGTAGTAGTAAACAATGAAACAATGAATTTATTTTTGCAAATAGGCCATAAAACGGCACTTTTACACGTCAAATTGTATGTGAAAAACTAGATGAAGCCGGCATTTCCTATCTGACTACTCTGAGAAGAAATGCCGAAACAAACTCAGAGGTCAGTCTCTTTTCAAGTCTAGACGATGTAAAATAACATAATGTGAGAGAACCGTGCAAGTTCATTCTGTAGTGGTCTTTTGAGGAAAGAACCACACCAGATTAAGTGGACCCGTTCTGAAGACAGGGACGCAAGTGTCAGTTTGCAACCAGTATAGCTAGTGCTGCTGAGTTGTCCGACGAAGTACAGACAGTAGGAACAGTAGGCATTTTATCTTGGGATAGGTTGGATAACAAGCAGACGGATTACACGATGGTAAGCAATCAGCGCCACCCATGGCCACTCGTAGTATTGAAAACCATAGGAATTAATGCGTTGCCAATCTTTTGTGAGTTATTATTAGGAGATTCGGTATAGGAGAGGGGGATGTCTCGAGTACATGTCATATGTTTTTTTTTACTCGCCAGATGGCGCTAAACCAAAAAAAAAGTTTTAACAATTCAATTTCTTTTTCAGAATCCCGTTACTCATCTCTTTGCGACCGCTGCGGTAACAATGCTGGCTGTACTAGATACACGCTAGATATGGGCGTTTCTGTGGCTGGCGTTAGGAATGATAACCGTCACATCCAAGCCTTGGAGTGTTTGAGAGTAAATGGAAACTCTACCAACACAGCTGTAGCGTACGTTGCTTGGCAGCATGTGAAGGAATTCTTTACTGTAAGTTATTAAATTTTTATGGGACAGACAGGTTATCTGATGGTAAGCAATTAACGCCGCACATGGACATGCGCAACACCAAAAAATTACAAGTGCATTGGCGGCCTTTTTTTATGTAATAGGTCGGCAAACGAGCAGACGGATTACCTGATGGTAAGCTATCAGCGCCGCCCATGGACACTCGCAACGGAGGAGTAACGAGTGCGTTGCTGACCTTTAAGGGATTAGGGATTGAGGAGGGATTGGGGATGGGAAGGCTTGGGCCTCCGGTAACCTCACACACACGGCGAAACACAACGCAGTGTTTATTTCACGCCGGTTTTCTGTGAGGCCGTGGTATCACTCCGGTCGAGCCGACCCATTCGTGCCGAAGCATGGCTCTCCCACACTTAAAAGTTTAAGGATTTGGTCTTCTATAACCACACATACGCATGGCGAAAAATGACACAAGCTGTCTTCTTCGCCGATTTTCTCTTAGACCTTGGATCACAAATAAAATGCTGGACTCCACCATATTGTGGATGGATGCCATTTCTGTAGCATATCACCATGAGTTAGGCACGGGTTCTGAGTCTCTGGATGAAAGTCGCTTTCAACTGGCCGATGTGAAAGTTTATTTTTGCATAGCAACCATATTGAGACATACATTTAAGTGTGGGAGAGCCATGCTTCGACACGAATGGGTCGGTTCGACCGGAGTGTTACCACGGCCTCACAGAAAACCAGCGTGAAAAAACCGTGTGAGTGAGGTTACCGGAGGCTCAATCCTTCTCCTTTCCCAATCCCTCCCCAATCCCTAAATCTCCAAATCCCTAATCCCTAAAAGGTCGGCAACGCACTCGTAACTCCTCCGTTACGAGTGTCCATGGGCGGCGCTGATTGCTTACCATCAGGTAATCCGTCTGCTCGTTTGCCGACCTATTACATAAAAAAAAACGAAAATACAGTATATATTGAAAATACCGTCTTACTTACTTACTCACTAGTACGATTTACTCGTGGTTTCGTTTCCCGCATGGAACAACTCTTTGTGTGATCCAAAAGTTGTTGTTCCGTGTCTGGGAGTGATGTGTTCGTGAAATTGTATGTTTGTTAACACACCCACGACACAGGAGAAAATCCTAGTATGGAGCAACGTTTAAATAATGAAAGAAAGACAGAAAAAATGGCGTGAAACAACTACAGCGTTGTGTTTTACCGTGTGATTCAGGTTACTGGAGGCTCAATCAGTTCCTACCCTCATCCCTTTCTAATCCGGTAATGCACCGGTACCTCCTCTGATGTTGGAGCTATCGTTGCTTAACATCTGGTAATCCGCCAGCTCGTTTCACGACCTATTACATATGAGAAAACATAAAATTGAAAAACTTATGACGTCATCGTATTTAATATTTTATCAAATCAATTTTATAAGCTACATAGTAAGGCAATCTTTGCAAGATGCAGCCACAGTGGTCGAAACGTCACACGCATGCGCCAGAAAACCTTCGCCTCTCACCCCCGCAATATTGATTAATGTCCTTGCACTTTGCGTTTGTTAGAAATGTCAAATGAATGTATAATCATTATTGTTAAAAGATATCGCTGACCTAAAAAAACCAGGTAGATACACAATACGGTTGTTTCCAACTAGTCAAATTCAATACTTTTATCCAAATGTCAAAAACGATACTTTTCTATGAAATTTGTATGAAACATTGAATTATGACGTCATAGCATTTTTGCGTCAAACAGCTTACTTATTTTTAAAAAATTAGCTAAAAAATATATAAAACTTAGTATATCGATCGATCGATGAATAAAAGTATAGTTATTTTTCAATATTTTATTATATTAAAACGTCGAATTAATTTATTTTTGACCTAGGAAACTACCCAATTAAAGGACCTAAGCGATAGACTTATCATGAGTGAAAATTTTCGCCATCTACGGTGTATTGGAGTGGATAGAATTCAAGGGGGAAATAAATGCAGAAGAGGGGTAAATAAGTACTAAAAAAATTCGTCAACATCTGATCACCCATTTTCTGTATCCATTCACCCTCCAATTGTAGGTATTCACCCCATTTTACGGTATACATCTATACTAATATTATAAAGAGGTAAAATTTGTAAGTTTGTTAGTAGGGGGTAATCTTTGGAATCGCTAGTCGGATTGCCAAAATTCTTTTACTGATTGATAGCTACAATTTTCCTGAATGATATAGGCTATAGTAAAACATCACGCTACGATTAAATGGAGCCGAGCAGCGGGTGAAACCGCGCGAGAGTTTTAAATATATCATAATCATAATCATAATCTACATGGATACGTTTAAGAGTCAAGTGAAAATCATTAATTCCAACTAAACCATAAACAGGTGCTTTTGAAAGATCAAAATAGGATAATAGTCTGCCAGTCTGTCCCTCAATTTTTTTTTATATGTAATAAATCGGCAAACGAGCAGCCGGATTACCTGATGGTAGGTAAGCAATCAGCGCCGCCCATGGACACCCGCAACGGAGGAGTTACGAGTGCATTGTCGACCTTTTAGGGATTAGGGATTTGGAGATTTAGGGATTGGGGAGGGATTGAGGGAGGCGAAGGATTGGGCATCCGGGAAACCTCACTCACACTTCGTTGTTTCACGCCGGTTTTCTGTGAGGCCGTGGTATAAAACTAACACAAATATCTTGATATTTGTTTAAATATTATTATAAAAGAGAACTGTATTTTGTAGCATGCCTTTTCAAGTCGGCCATTTTGGCACCACCGCGACCCGCATGCGCTAGAATACCTCGCCCCGCACCGTTGCAATATCGATCGTATCAAAACAAACTAAAGACCAAAGGCTTTTGTATTTTTAGACTGGTTTTATGGTATATTTACAGGTATCCATGTTTAATTTTGTATAAATTGTGCACCTATTTTGAAAAGAGTAACGATGGAGTTTCTTGCTTGTCCTTCTCCATTCGAATTTCACTTTGAAACGATCTATCTTCATTTAAGTGTGGGAGAGCCATGCTTCGGCACGAATGGCTCGGCTCGACCGGAGTGATACCACGGCCTCACAGAAAACCGGCGTGAAACAACCACAGCGTTGTTTTTCGCCGTGTGAGAGAGGTTATCGGAGGCCCAATCCTTCGCCTCCCCCAATCCCTCCCCAGTCCCTAAATCTCCAAATCCCTAAAAGGTCGGCAACGCACTCGTAACTCCTCCGTTGCGAGTAACCATGGGCGGCGCTGATTGCTTACCATCAGGTAATCCGTCTGCTCGTTTGCCGACCTGTTACATAAAAAAATGTGACATATTCTTGCCTTTATCCTTGTTGTCAGAAGAATATGTTTTCTTCCACTTCCCTCTTTTTTTGTTTACGAGGAAAAAGACTAGGGAATGTCAATTTTTCCTGACTAAACCCTCCTCAGTGGCTACCGTTAGAACCTGTATGGGTAACCGAGTCCCCGCAGTAGACCACGTCCAGATCCATTCTCTCCTAACAAATGCCATCTTATCATCAAGTCTTTTTCCCTTGCATATCCATATTCCATTCCATATCACGGTCTCACAGAAAACGGGCGTGAAACAACCACAGAATTGTGTTTCGCCATGTGAAAAAGGTTGCCGGAGGCCCAATCCTTTCTCTCCCTTAATTGCTTGCGTTGCCCGCCTTTCAGGGATTAGGGTTTCGGAGATTTAGATATTGAGCATTGAGCTTCCTGTAACTCACTTCCACGGCAAACATAACGCTGTTGTTATTTCATGTCGGTTTCCTGTAGTACGGCTACCACTCCGGTCGCGCCTACACATTCATGCCGAAGCATAGCTCTCTTACATTTAAGGACATACCTACATTGCTACATTTATATATCTAATTACATTTCTATGTTTCAGCTTCGCAACCCCAATGACGCCCCGTCCTATGCTGTACTCTGCCCCAATGGTACACTCGCCCCTCTGACCACAGACACCTTGAACAACGCCATCGCACCATGCGCCTTCGTCCGTCAACCATGGGGAACTATTGTGGCTTCTACGTAAGTTAAAAACATCGAGTCTTTTAATTTAATACCCAAGGCACACATGGGCATCCTTTAGAGGTGAGAATTGTGGCTCTCTGAAAGAAAGAAAATCTTCATCTCTTTCAAAATTTGCCTGCTTGTCTGTTTAAATGTTATGAAACAGTTATATTACACCAGAGCAAAGTTCAAAAAATTCGTAATAATACTGAAAAATTACAAAAAATAATTTTAGTATTTAAATCCTTTCACCAAGCGGCAATATGCAGCAATTTTATATATTCAGCAGTCCTTGTTATCACGCCATCTGTTGGCCTATGTTCAAGTTTGTAAATCAAGTTTATGACGATAGATGTCACTATATAAAAGTTAGTAAACAACGTTGTCTTATGTAGTTAAAAGATGTCGCTATAATTAACAAGCTGGAATATATTATAATTGTTACCCTTTCAAAAAATATTGATCTAATTTGATTTGAAATGCGCATTTCAGGGACAGCTCAGCTGCAATCCTCTTAGAATTGAGGAACGCTTGGCCTGCCGGTTCTAGCCCTAGTGGAAACTCTTGGCAGTCAACTTTATTCACAATGCTGGCTGGTGGTGCTAACGCCAAGGTTGTGTATCAGGATGCTCCCACTACCCCATTGGATTATACATCTCCAAGTAAGTGACGAAATAAATGCGATGAAAAAAATCAATTAGCTATAATATCAGTCAGTATAACAATATTATGGTTATATAACCAAGAGCTTATACACATATGTGTATAAGCTCTTGAACCCAGCAGTTATGCTACCTATAGGATTAATTATAAAACATTTTATAGCAAGAAAGTCTTGCAAATTTTTTGGACAAACATTTTTTTATGTAAGTATCGGTAATCGAGCAGACGGATTACCTGATGGTAAGCAATCAGTACCGCAAATGGACACCTGCAACGGAGGACTTACGAGTGCGTTGCCGACCTCTTAGTAAATAGGGATTTGGAGATTTAGGGACTAGGGAAGGATTGGAGAAGGAGAAGGATTGGGCCTCCGGTAACCTCACTCAGACGGCGAAACACAAAGCTATGATTGTTTAACGCCGGTTTTCTGTGAGGCCGTGGTATCACTCCGGCCATGCCAATTATGCTCATTTAACAGCTTTATTAAATTTTTACAGTCCGCTCGATCAGCAACGCTGATGCCAGTGCGTCCTGCATGCCAGCCCGTCGCTGGTGCACCATCTCTGAAGCTGAAATGAACAAGTGCTCCTGGGTGCGCGCTGCAGCTCATACCCTGGGTATGTATTCATTTGTCAAGGGAATACACAGGGATTTTTAAAACGGTACGCAGGAGCGTGTTGAAAAGAAAATTGGAACTCGCTAATCCGAAATCGAAAGAATATTTGACTGCACTGGCTGCCGTGCCACGTGGACTACTCTATGTGAACCACAAATTGTTGTTCCGGGTCTGGGTGTGATGTGTATGTGACATTGTATGTTTGTAAACGCACCCACGACACTGGCGAAAATCCTAGTGTGGGGCAACAATTATAGTATAAAAACCACCTATCTAAAATTGATCATTACCTACATATTAAGGGGACAACATTATCGTCCGCCAAACACCAAAATAAACCTTCAATCAATTAGCTGGCCCCTTGATCGCAGAACAGTTAGAATGCATGTATATAACTTTCAAAGTAAATTTTTTGTAAAGTCGGTTAATAATGTATTCTGTTTCCCAACAGGTATCCAGCCTGCTATAACCTGCCAGAGAAGGAACACCATCTTGGACTGCCTCTCCGATGTCAAGGCTGAACAAGTCGACTTCCTCGCTATTCCATCCACCTACGGCTACTTGGCTAGACAGTAAGTGTTTTTATGGGAAAGGCTGGCCAAACGAGCAGACAGATTACCTGATGGTAAGCAATCAGCATCGCTTATAGACATCCGAAACATCAGTGGAGTTGTAGCAATTTAAAACGGGGAATAATGACGGACATGAAAGAAATAAAAAAAAATCATTTAGTGGGCAATAAAAACTAGAAAAAAGCAAAAAGCTAGTTAAGTATTACTACATATTATAAAACAAAGTCGCTTTCTCTGTCCCTATATATCTATGTACGCTTAAATCTTTAAAACTACACAACGGATTTTGATGTACTTTTTAATAGATAGAGTGATTGAAGAGGAAGGTTTATATGTATAATAACATCCATTAAATAGTGGAGACATTTAGAATCTATTCATTGCACCCTTGCGCTTGAATGCTTGAATTAGCTAAAATGTTATATTCGCTTCCAATTTATATTAATATCGTAAAGAGGTAAAATTTGTAAGTTTGAGTGTACTGAGTAATCTTTGGAACCGCTGGTCGGATTTCCAAAATTCTTTCACTGGTAGATAGTTACAATGTTCCTGAGTGCTATATTTGATTTACCTTTATTAGTCGGGCTATCGCTTTAAACGCTGCTGTTTTTAAAAATCCCGGTTTACATTCCTTTTAAACGTGTGCGAACGTTAGTTCTTCTATACAAACCTTATCCTGAGAATAACGAATGCATCGATAAAGGATTAAGTACCAATACCTATTATTATAATTGCCAATTATTTAAAAAAAGGCTTCGTAGCTTTTTAGTAATGAAAGCGTATTATAACTTAAACGAGTTTCTAAATGAAAAAGATTTTATATGTCATTGTTAACCTGCTTCAGTTTATGTTTAACTTAAAGTGTAAATTGCTATTGAGTTATATTGTTATTAGGTTATTAGTCTGTATTAAGTTTGTATTTTTGCTGTAGATTGTTTTAATTTAATTTTTTTTATTTAACTTATGTAACAATGTTTGTATATTTTGCATGCCCAATGGTAAAATATGGCTGTGCTTGTTAAAAAAATTGTCATCTTGATTGTTACCCATATTTGCGAAATAAATATGTCTTTATCTTTACCTATTAATCCGTTTTACACCTTCTAATTTTCGCCATCTAACATCCGATCTCTTCCACCAGACACTACCAGCTGACTCCAGTGAAATTAGTCCAGAATACAAGAGCTAACGCAACCAGGATCGCTGCCTTCGTCAAAGAGTCATCCGTCGGTTCTGGAAACCTCTCCCGCTTCGAGAACCTTCGAGACAAGAACGCCTGCTTCCCTGAATTCGGTGGCTTGGGTAAGGGTCTTTTTAAAGTCTTATTGCTAAAATAGGTTCTGATGGTAATCGAGGCCTCCATGGACACTAGCGATCCCAGAAGAAATTGCAAGCACGTTGCTAGTCTTTTGGGCCGGATGGGAGGTTTTGGGGATTTAGGGATTAAGGAAGTCAACAAGTAGACGAATCGCTTGATGGTAAGCATCCAGCGCAACCCTTGGCCACTCGCAATAAAAGGGGAGTTACAAGTGCAGTGTTGTTTTTTTACTATTTAAAAGGTCGGCAAACGAGCAGACGGATTACCTGATGTTAAGCAATCAGCGCCACCCATGAACACCCGCAACAACAGAGGACTTACGTGTGCGTTCCCAATGATTTAGGAATTGGGGATTTGGGGGACCCCACGGTTGGCGCGGTGGATGGGCAACTGGCTGCCGCGCAACGTGTCCCGGGTCGATTCCCGCACGGGACAACTTTTTGTGTGATCCACAAATTGTTGTTCCGGGTCTGGGTGTAATGTGCATGTGAATTTGTCGTTTGTATACGCACCCACAACACGGGAGAAAATCCTAGTGTGAGGCAAAGTATAAAAAACAAATAGGACATTTAAGGATTAGGGGAAGGCTTGCGATAACCTCACTTAATTCAACGCTGTGGTTGTTTCACGCCGTGTTATCATTTCAGTCGAGCTAGACCACTTCGTGCCGAAACATGACTTGCCCACTTGAAATCAGTGAGTGATTCACGGTCCTTGCAAGACGTAATTATCCAAGTATCTAAGTGGTTTCAAAATACCTACTATTTTTCTTTGAAGAATTTAAGAAGATTGAATGATATGTTAAATTGAATTTAAGAATTTAAGATGATCTTTCCTCTCATTTGTTCTAGGACTATGTGTCCTAGCTTCGCACCAACCGCAAAAATTCTCTGTACCGCCCTATGGTTGACTGTTAGAGAATGCCTTAAGGCATTAAATCCGCAAATCAGACTGTTTTGTGTGAAGAAGAAATAATAAATAAATAAATAAGTTAGCTTAGTTTAAGTTTTAAGTGTGGGAGAGCCATGCTTCGGCACGAATGGGTCGGCTCGACCGGAGTGATACCACGGCCTCACAGAAAACCGGCGTGAAACAACCACAGCGTTGTGTTTCGCCGTGAGAGTGAGGTTACCGGAGGCCCAATCTTTCCCCACCCCCAATCCCTCCTAAATCCCTAAATCTCCGAATCCCTAGTCCCTAAAAGGTCGGCAACGCACTCGTAACTCCTACGTTGTGGGTATCCATGAGCGGCGCTGATTACTTACCATCAGGTAATCCGTCTGCTCGTTTGCCGATCTATTACATAAAAAAAAAAATAATAAATGATAATATTCTTTATTTTCAGCTTACGTTTCGTTCGTGAGGACCGGACATGAGAGAGGTATTCTCTCCACATCAGAATGCGATTACGCCCGCGTTGTTGGAGAATTCTTCGGTGGAGCGTGTGCCCCTGGTGCTATCGACGCTTCTTTCGCCCTCTCCGATTCTTCTGTAAGTATTGCTTACCAAAGCGCAATCCTCAAAGACCAAATAGACCACAGACGGGGCCCTACAGCACTGATATTCAGCTGGGGTTGCGGGGCAAGCGCAATAAGGCACCGCGACCTCGGCTGTAAGAGATAGAACGGGGGTTTTGTAGTCAGTAAGATTCTGACACTCTTTCTCGCCTCACTCCTGGATAAGGAATTCGATGATTTTCCCCTCACAAAAAAGGTAATGGTTCAATTGCAAATTCATTCTAGATCACAGGTAGGTACATAATACGGTTATTATCATAAATTATGGTTGCCATTCATTTTCTTATTTACAAGCATTAAATTTTGCTGAAATACCAAACAACTTTTTACTCACATCACTTTGGAGTAGCAGATTTGCTGACATATTAAAATTGCTGGCAGAAAGAATAGAACTTCAAGCAAGCGTGGTGATTAATGCTCAAACTTTCTCCGTGTGAGAAGAGGCCTTTGCACAGCAGTGTGTGCTTATAGGCTGATGATGATGATGATGATGATGTACTCGTAAAACGATTAAGAAATTAAGATTATTCCCCAATTAGTTCCAAATTCCAAGAAGCAAATTACTTTTTCTTGTTACAATAAAAATCTGACGGCTTTATTAACAAACCCACATTTTTAAAAATCTCACGTGGCGCTGGGTGATGGGGGGGGGAGGCGTTTGAATAAAATCTCACGTGGCGCTGGGTGATGGGGGGGGGGGAGGCGTTTGAATAAAATCTCACGACATCTTAGGGAAAGGAGGGTCCGTAATTTCAAAAAAAAAACACTACCTCATTTGTCTCCTTAAGAATTTTGACTTGATTAGTTTGATTTTTGTTACAGAGCTTCAATTCATCAAGTCTGTGTTCCGCTTGCCGAGCAACTCCTGGCGTAGTCAACGTTCCTAACCGTAAGTTTTTTTTCTTTTTTCTTTATTTTTATTTAACGTTGCCCCACATTAGGATTTTCTCCTGTGTCGTGGGTGCGGTTACAAAAATATAATTTCACATACAACTCACACGCAACAATTTGTAGATCACAGTATCACACAAAGAGTTGTTCCGTGCGGGAATCGAACCCGCGACACGTTGCACGGCAGCCAGTTGCCCAGCCACCGCACCAACCGTGCAGTAATTTTTTTCATGTCATAAGTCTGCAAACGAGCTGACGGATTACCTGATGGTAAGCAATCAGCGCCGCCCATGGACACTGGTAATACCAAAGGAGTTACTACAACAGCCGGCCTCTTTTTAGTTATTAGGGATAGGGGATTTTAAGGATTGAAAATGGGGAGATTGGGCGTCCGGTAACTTCACTAACACAACATAAGCGTTACTTCACGCCGGATTTTTTTGAGGCCGTGGTATCACTCCTATCGAGCCGACCCATTCGTGCCGAAGCTTGGCTCTCCCACACTTAAAGAGTACCTAAAGTATATCAATCATAGCTTGATAGTAGGTAGGTACTAAAAGTGCTGTTTTATGGCCTATTTGCAAAAATAAATTCAAAGTTTCATTGCAATACTTAGATAATGTTTTTCTTTGTGAAATAAGTCGTCAAACATGCAGACGGGTTACCTGACGGTAAGCTTTCGGCGCCGCCCATGGACAAACCAAAGGAGTTACGAATGCGTTGCAGACCTTTTGAGGCCAAGGGTTGCGGATATAAGGATTAGAAAGGGATAGGGAAGGTGGAATGGGCCTCGGGTAACCTCACTCACACGGCGAAACACAACGCTGTGATACCTATCTATACTAATATTATAAAGAGGTAAATTTTGTTAGTTTGTAAGTTTGTATGTAGGGGGTAATCTTTGGCACAGCTGGTCGGATTGCCAAAATCCTTTCACTGAGGGATAGCTATATGTTCCTGAGTGCTATAGGCTTATAAAAGTATAAAACACGCTAAAATGAAATGAAGCTGCGGATGAAACCGCGCGAGAGTAGCTGGTACATTGTATAACACAATGTTTGTAATATTAAAATTGTTTTTCCAGCTGTCTGCACCTGGGATTACGCCACGAACCGTTTCTTCGGTAACAACGGCACCATTGCCTGCCTCGCTGATCCCGCCAATGACGTGGCCTTCTTGAACATCAGGAACATTCGAAGTAAGTACCTACGTACAGCATTATTGAGGACGAATAATTATCAATTTACTTCTCCATTCCTGGTTGGGACAAGTGTAAAATAAAAAAATCACAAAAGAAAAATTGCCGCCAAAATAAGTATATAACTGTCAATGTCAAAAATATAAAACTAAAAAAATGTGGGTTCGGATACACACTATAATCGGATGTTCTCCTGTGTAGTGGGTGCGTTTACAAATATAGAATTTCACATACACATCACACCCAGACACGAAACAGCAATTTGCGTATCCCACAAAGAGTTGTTCCGTGCGGGAATATAACGCGACATGTTGCACGGCAGCCGGTTGCCAGCCACCGCGTCAACCGTGCAGCCATTCAGTCTTATTTCGTTGACTAGTACTTTTCATAATTATTTTATTAGTTTTTTTTATATTAAATAATGTTTTTATCCTGTTGGCGTCCTCATCCTCATGGACACAAAACCTATATTAATAATTTAATGGTTGGAACATTAAAACTTTATTGATTGTTTAACATAATTAATCACATACATCTATAGTTCTAAAATTTAAGCACATGGTTATATTAATGTTAAAGTGGCTTCGAGTCGCGGAGTAATACGTATGTCGCCCGTACGCGACGAGGGTTGGGGCGCTCTCTGGCTGGCGCCGCCGCTCGCGCCACCTCGGCCTGCGTTGGCGCGCGGGGTGTGCGGGCGGCGGAGGGGGGGCCGCGCATGCGTGTTACTGCGGCGCGTTGCAGCCACAGTGTAGCGAAGCCACAGCCTAACCAAATAAAATCTTGCGCTACAGTAATATATAGAATAAAAAATAACACCAATTTCGTCCTTCCAGGCTACTTGTCTGCTCAACAACTACAAGAGAACCAGCTCCGCGCTCTCTGCCGCAACAACTCCCTCGCTGCGTACACCGGTGTGGACATCGACGACGGATGTCTACTAGCTTACGTTGTTGACGGTGAAGTCGTTGTTAGAAGGTAGGTTAAAAAGGAATCTATACTTTATTATCATTATATATACATATATAATATTATGTAGCGACATTTATCGCACAACATTGACAACAGCACCAATCACGTACAAATTTCTACATCGCGCTATAAGATTTTACAACACAATTAGCACTAATACAAAAACCCCGACAACAACCGTCGGGCAGTATTTAGCCCACCAGACATAACACCCCTCTGGTCGGAGGATCCTCCCTTTTCAATGGAGGATGAGGAACTTACCACCCTGTTCATCATACCTCTAAAATTATAAAGCTGAAGAGTTTGTTTGTTTGAAAGCGCTAATCTCCGGAACTACTGATTGATTCAAATTAAACAATACTTTTTTTGTTTGTTAGTAAATTTATCGAGGAAGTTTATATATATGTATAGGCTATAAAACATCACGCTACAACCATCGCTAGGAACAGTGCAGCGGGCGAAACAGCGCGAGATTAGCCAGTTGAAGAATTCATTGAGAAAGTAAATTAACAAAAGGTTGCCGTTTGGTGTAATGGCTGGGCAGGACATGCATTTTGACATTTTGTCACTGTCTACCACTATGCTTCTTAGTGCCGTAAGAGGGTGTTCCACCGGAAAACCTTAATGTTTAACAGTAAATCCCATCGGTTTCTTATGTATCTTAGTAAAGTAACTCTTAATATTACTACTTATATAAATGTGAAAGTTTTTGAGAATGAATGGATGTATGTTTATTATTTTTTCACGCAAAAACGGCTGGACCTATTTGGTTGAAATAGACTGCTTTTTATTAATTGCTGCTTTCAATCGGCAGAATTTTAATTTTGGGTTGAGGATAATGACATCTGTATCTTTCGAGCTAATTAATCTTACGTTAAAAATCGAATTGGCAGAGGTTGAGCAGCCAGCGCTCTCAGCTAAATGTTTTGTTCGGAGTTTAAAACCACGTTTACCAATATTCGACACGCCTGCAAAGATATTCATAAAGCCCATAGTCCCTACCTACATGACTACCTATGGGCTTTATCATAATCTTTTAATGATAAGATGATAACCAAGCAATTATTCTTAATTTTCAGAAGCGACCCATACTACAACACCTTGAGCACACTCTTCGACGCTCTCGACAACTATTTCGGATACACCGCGTCATCTGGTAACCAACTCATCAACATAGAACTCTATTCTCCTTTCAACGGAGCGTCTCACTTACTGTTTAGAGACACAGTGATTGGTCTTACTGAACCTACCACCAATGCGGGTCTTGAGCCTGCCAGGAATTATATGGACCTCGTCAGCCACTTACAAGCCTGCACGGGCACCACACCTCCTGTCCCCGGGCATGCAAACCGCAGCGTATACTCCATATTCACCTTATTCGTAATGGCCTTTATGACAAGATTTGTTGTCTATTAAGTCCTTAACAGTTTTCAGTGTGTATCCGAACGCACGATTTTTTTAGTTTTAAGTTTTTGACATTGACAGTTGTTTTGGCGGTAATTTTTTGTTTGTTTTTTTCTTGTGTGTATAATTTTTTTAAGTGATGGATATTGATTACCTACATTTTTTCGTTCAGTTTTTTTATTGAGTTTTGTATCTAAGTGCTACATAATATATTATAATTAGATAACTTTCTTACCAGTTTTGATGACGCCTTAGTAAAAAACCCTACCTATAAGAATTTATACCTACTATTTTACTTACTTCAAACGAAGCAACATTTTGTAACTTATTATTACTAGTTAAGAATAATTAATATTAACGTACTTAATTTGTAATAAAAGATATATTTTCCTAGCTGATATCCTCCGATTTTTCCTATCTATGTATGTATAACAAAGTAAGTAGTTAGTTTAGTAAAATATAATTTAGATTAAGACAACACCGTTACCATTGTATTTTGTTTGTATTTTTTTGTGAATAAAATTCAACTTTTTTATTAAAACATCTTATTTTCTGTAAAATAATGTCTCTTCTTTCATTGATTAGTCTACATAGCATGAAACAAGTCACTTTCTCTGTCCCTATATCACTTCTTTAAAACTACGCAACTAAATAGACTGATAAAGGGGAAAGTTTGATGTAAGTAATAGTAACATTCTATAAATAGTGGAGAAAAAGTCACAACATACCTATAATACGGACGCCGTATCTTGACGAGTCTGAAGTTAGCCGTTTGTCTGCACAATGGATCTTTTAGGAACAAAATTGTGTACTGCGCAGCTACTCGGCTAACTTCAGACTCGCCAAGATACGTCGGCCGCACTGTAATTGGCATTGTGGCAATTAACAACTGTGTAATTTTCGCAAAACTTTCTACCTTACACTGCTATATTTTGGAATGATATTTCGGCGACTGTATTTCTGAGACTTTGAAACCTTCTAGAAACGTACGTACTCCTTCTTCAAAAGCCGGCAACGCGCCTGTGAATCCTCTGGTGCTGCAGGTATCCATGGGCGACGCTGATCACTTACGATCAGGTGATCCATCTTCTCGCATGCCTCCTATTCCATAAAAAACAATTTATGACCCCGTAAACTACAACAATAATATTTAGCCAAAGAATATACAGACAGTACTACTACACAAACGTGTAGGAATATTCAGACAGTCTCGAGTTGACCAGTCCCAAGAATTTTAATTCGATTCCACATTTGACATTAAATACTGTCATTTTGTGAAATAATGATACCACATTATAATGGTGTAGTGATGAACACAAAAATCGATAAACAATCGCTTTGGTTTTTTGCTTTTGTCTGAGATTTTTGAAAGTAAAGTGAACTTAGACTAGCAGAATGTCGAATAAACATTTTTTAACAGATTATTCTTATAAAATAAAACAGATTAATCTGTTTTATTTGTCACATTTTTTTACTTATTTCACACAAAATTATAAAAGAAAAGTCTAAGATCGTTAATTAATCGTCAAAACCAAATTATCGGTTCAGAAATATTTAATTTCCTGATATACTTTGTTTACGAGAGTAAAATTATAAACGAGAGGAATCGATCCGAAAATATTCGATTTCCATATCGAATAACTTCGCAACGTCACTATTTAGTGCTTGTCATAAAGTTGTAACACTGAAATTGTCAAATCTGGAATGGAATTAAAATTCCGAGTAGGTATAGTCAAATTCAATACTTTTATCCAAATATCAAAAACTGTACCTACTTTATATGAAATTTGTATAAAGCTCCAAACGATCACATAGGTAGTATTTTTGCCTCAAATAGCTTACTTATTCCTTAAAAATTCTCGAAAATTTATTGAATCGACAGATCGCTGAATGAAAGTATAGTTATTTTTCAATATTTTATTGTATTGAAACGTCGATTTAATTTATTTGTGGCCCAGGAAACTACCCATTCCTCTGAACACGCCCCATGGCATAAACGACAGAAACACAAAAATCTCCCACAAGAAAATCTATACTAATATTATAAAGAGGTAAAATGTTTGTAAGTTTGTATGTAGGGTGTACCTTTGGAACCGCTGGTCGGATTGCCAAAATTCTTTCACTGATAGGTAGCTACAATGTTCCTGATTGCTATAGGCTATAAACCATCACGCTATGATTAAATGGAGTCGAGCAGCGGGTGAAACCGCGCGAGAGTAGCTAGTTATAAATAAAACAAAAATACATAAATGTACCACATTTTTATTTCATATTTCATACAATATTTATAAAATACTTTCTAAGTTTTTTTTAATAAGTTACACATCATTATCTAATTGATTTAAAAAGCGTTTGTAGACGCCATATTGAGAAAAATATACCATGGTTGAGTTGTATATTTGCATCTCCTTCTCGCACTGCGTAAAAGATAGGGATAGCTACAGACGAAATGCTTGATTTCGGCTATAGAAAATAATAAAGCTGTCCTTTTCTGATTTATTAATAAGGGAAAGAGATGAATATATGTACCATTAAACTTCAAAATGTCTACGTTTGATATGTGTCAAAAAATCTATTTTCTTGGGACTTCATAAAGAAATAACGACAAAACAACACTAACATTATTCATATTTCGGAAATGCCCAACGAATTTTTTTTTAAATCCACAGTGTGTCTCGGAAATAGTCGAGCTTGGACAAAGATTACCCTTACAAAAAAACTAACACTCTCCATCCCGCTCCCTCATAAAACAATTAGAAAAGGACAGAATAATATATAAAAAACATACTGACTTTATTAGGTAAAATATTGGTTTCGTCGTACAACTGAGAAAATTCAACTAAAAATTAATTAAAAAAAAAACGATGCACCGTAGATACATTTTTATTGCTATTTATTATTATATTATTTACAAACTTATGTATTAATAGCCTATTATTAGCTAAATATTAAGGTTATATTTCACAAATTCCTATAAAACCTTTGATATCGCCACGATGTCCAAACTAATATAAATGCGAAAGTAACTCTGTCTGTCTTTCTTCACGCCTAAACTACTGAACCTGTTTGTGTGAAATTTGGTACAGACATAGTTTGGAACTCGAGAAAGGACATTGGATAGTTTTAAACCAAAGATATGTAGGAAGTCACTATTCCAGGCGAACAAAGTCGCGGGCAAAAGCTATAGTTCGTCCATAATTAGAGACAACAATTTGACAACTGCAAATGTCAAACTACAAAATAATGTGGCCAGATTTTTCAACATTACGATGGGCCCGAGTATGATGTATTAAAATACCGATACCGTTTTTTTATTAAATAAATTATCTTGAGTAATAAGTAGAATTAATAAGAATAATTTAAAATAAAAATGCGAAATCCAAGACTGGGTAAAAGAAAAAAAAACATTATATTTGAGGAATCTATGCTGAAAGCTGAACCGATTGGGATTGCCCGTTTTTAATAACGGAACGAAGTATAGTTATGTATAATTAAGTCATCACTACATAGTATAAAATAGTCTGTCCCTATATCCCTATGTACGCTTAAATCTTTAAAACTACGCAACGGATTTTTATGCGGTTTTTTTATAGATAGAGTGACTGAAGAGGAATGTTTTTATGTATAATAACATCCATACTTCAATAATTTTTTTATGGCAGATTAAGGCAATTAGGAGTTTGTGAAATAGACCTTTTTGTGATAAAAAAGATGTCATATCCGAGGTTTTTAAAGTCGGTTAACGACTTACTTGTACGAAAAAGTCTAGGTAGGTATTTCTTTCAATAAAGTTCAATGACTTTTTTTGTCTCTTTACAAAGTCAAATTTTAATTTTGTATATAATCAATAGAAGTCATCGTCATCATCATCAGCCTATAAGTGCCCACAGCTGAGCAAAGGTCTCTTGTCACGGTGAAAATTTGATCATTAACCACCACTCTCGCTCAAGCGATTTCAAACTTACAAGTCCAGGTTACCTCACGATGTTTACCTTCACTGTATGTCAGTGGTGTATAAATAATCATAGAAAGTACATATAACTTGGAAAATGTCACAATGGTACTTGCCAGGTTACCTCCAGAGAAGCGGGCCTTAACCTCAGGCCACCATGACATTGTCTAGCAGTGAGGTGGTTATAAGCTGATTCTAGTTTCGAGTGACCAAAAGAACAGACGGATTACCTGATGGTAAGCAAGCCACGCCTCCCAATAACACTTCAGTCTATCGGTTTAGATAATTAACTAAATATAAACAATCTTGTCATGTCTTTTTATCAAAAAGTTGTATAAAAATTGTATGTAAAAATGTTTACAATCAGCTATTTACCTAAATCGATGTTAGCTAATAAACTGAATTTAAATAATCTTTGTATGTACTTTATACGAGCTCTTTAATACAAAAAGACACACCAACATTGTTTACCTTTAGTTAACCACCTAAACCTGGAGACTATAGGAGAGTTCCTAGTATCGTTTTAGTAGTGTCACGCCTGTGTACTATGAGAGCCTAACATCAAGTCGACGTACTGTAAGGTCGTGGTATCACGCCAATAACCTATGAGGGCACAGCGAGGGTGTGGTGTCATACCAAAGTACTTCTTTGGGGCCGTGGTATCACGTCGGTAAACTACGAAACCGTTCAAGCCAATGAACTGTGAGGGTGTGGTATCATACCGAAGTACGCTGTATCACGCTGGCGTCTTGCAATGCCGTGATATCACGCCGGATGCCCTGATATTGATATGGTACTGTGAGGCCATAACACCAAAATAGTTTTATGATTGTGAAGCCGTGGTATCACGCCGTGTACCGTGTTCTAAGCTTGACTTTCCCACATGGTATCATTTCTCATCATCATCATCATACTCCCTCCCCCCAAATGTCTTCCACATCAGTCGGGAACGACCAGCATCCATCCCCCTATAACATTTCTTATACAAAGCCCTATCTGAAGCCAAAACCCGGTTTTATACAAAGTCCAAAACCCCGCGGCCATTTTATATATTGATGCCTCCATTTTGTGGCGGTTTCGCGGAGTTCGTCAGTTTGGGTCAGTGGTGTAGCGAATGGTGTGGGGTTAGGACTGCGCCCCCGGCTGAGAGCACTGACGTGATCACGGGGGCTCCGCCCGCGACGCCCGACACGCCAGATACGCCTCCTACGCCGCCTCCGCAGAATATCACCTGAAAAGAGATTTTAAGGTATTTAGAGAATAAATGTTATATGATATATATTAGCTTAGACACATATGTTTAAATTTATTTATTATAGCTACTCTCTCGCTGTTTCATCCGCTGCTCGGCTCCATGTGATCGTAGCGTAATGTTTTATAGCCTATAGCACTCGGTAACATTGTAGCTAATATAATTATTTTCGCAATGCGACCAGCGGTTCCAAAGATTACCCCCTACATACAAACTTTACCTCTTTATAAAATTAGTATAGATAACGAAAAAAAAAACCTCAAGGATAAACAACCCTTAGCATTTAGAGGTATGAAAAATAGGCAGTCAAAAAACGAGAATTTTAAATAAAAGAAGTCGAGGCAAAGCCACGGCATGAGTCGATAGGAACTGGGAAGCCGTCTCCTCTTTCTGTGAAGCAGTTATGCTCGCAAAAAAGGAGGCGGACCGTGTGAGTGACCTATCCTTCTCCTCACGGCCCAGCCGCTGAAGTAGGCGGCACTTTGGGCGTCAGGGATCGAGAGACGACCTCCGGCCACCGACCCGAGCGTACGGCCTCAAAGACCCAATAGACCACCACAGACGGGGCCCTATAGGGCTGATGTTCAGCCGGGGTGGAGGGGTAAGCGCAATGAGGCACCGCTCCTTATTCAGTAAGAGTCTGACACTCCCTCCTACCCCTCTCTGAGCGGGAGAAGTCATGTGATGATTATCCCCTCACAAAAAAGCTAGTTATAATATAAGATTCCTGTGACATACCTGTGAGACGGGAGTCGCGGGTTGGCCGGCCGTAGCTAGCACATACTGTTGCTGCCTGACTCCACCGACCTGAAATGAGACGGACATTGTATTTTTTAAGGAATAAGTCGCCAACCAATCATTCTAATTATGTAATGATAGGAAATAATCTTTAAAAATTTCGTCTGACGTTTAAAAGTGCCTGTTAGTGTCTAATCGAAATAAATGATTTTGACTTTGACTTTGCAATCAGCGCCGCCCATGGTCACTCGTAATATCAAAGGAGTTACTACAAGTTGCCGATCTCTTGTGGATCATTACGACTATAATGAATGACTAGAAATGAAGTGTTGTCAGTATGTCGAGCCAACCCATTCGTGCCGAATCATGGGCCCTGCTTTACATTATTCTTATATAAAAACTTTTTTAATTGGTTAAGTTAGCAGAACGAGAATTTGGTATGGGAGAGCCATGATTCGGCACGAATGCGTCGGCTCGACCGGAGTGATACCACGGCCTTTGTGAAATAACGCTTGCAATACGTCGCCATAGTAATATGTTGTTAGTTACTAGCTACTTCACTAGGTTTCGAAGTGTGTCCAAGGGCGGTACCGTTTGCTTTACCATCAGGTGTCCCCGTCTGCCCGTTTTCCTGCCTATCATATAAAGACCTAGTTCTAGTACCTGATGCACTGCAGACTGCTGTATGCCCTGTCGCGGCGCATCCTCAGTCTCCACGACGACCTGCTCCAGGAACGAACCAGCGCCTGCAAGATCAACATTTATCATCAAACTCCGTTCGAATGAGGACTAACTATGTAGAATTTTACTACATATTTTTAAGTATATTTTTGAAAATTTAAAACAATGAAAAATTAAGTCGTGGTAGCCCGGAGACTAAGGCTGCTTCTCATGCATGAGGCTTCGCTACCTGGTAAGTACCAATGTAATTTTCCGAGTTATATGCACTTTCTATGATTATTAAGACACCACTGACATACGGTGAAGGAAAACATCGTGAGGAAACCTGTACTTATAATTTCTAATTATTATTTAAAATCGTAGTGATGAATGACTCAAACCTTCTCCGTGTGAGAAGAGGCCTTTGCTCAGCAGTGGTCACTTATAGACTGATGATGTGAAATTAAGTTAAAAATAAATAAAAATACTGACCGGTATTATTAGTAGCCGTTGAATTAAGATTCTCGCATCCAAAGAGACAGTGTTGGACAGTCCACCGAGGCTCGAACGGGATGTGGGTCTTAACCTGAAACAATAAAGAATATTTTCGATTAACAACTATCGTATAAGTGTGGGAGAGTCAAGCTTCGGCACGAATGGGTCGGCTTGACCGGAGTAATACCACGGCCTCATAGAAAACCGGCGATTACAGCGTTGTACAAGATTACCCTAATCCCCAAAGGCGCCGCAATCTAATTCTAACTCTTCTAGTGTTGCGGGTGTCCATGGGCGGCGCCGATTGCTTACCATCAGGTAATCCGTCAGGTAGTTTGCCGATTTGTAAGATAAAGCAAAAATTTTCGTTGTGTTAAGTACAGTGAGACATTTTTTAAAGCATTGAAGAGTTGTTTTCGCAGTAATACCACGGCCTTACAGAAAACCGGCGTGAAACAACCACAGCGTTGTTTCGCCGTGTAAGATTACCGTACGCCCATCCCTTCGAAATCCTTCAATATTCGATACCCTAATTCCCAAATGCGCCGCAACACACTCGAAACTCCTCTAGCGTTGCGGGTGTCCATGGGCGGCGCCGATTGCTTACCATCAGGTAATCCGTAAGCTCGTTTGTTTGAACGCGCTAATCTCCGGAACTGCTAGTTCGAATTGCATAATACTTTTTGTGCTTGTTAGTCCATTTATCGAGGAAGGGTATGGGCTATAAAACATCACGCTATGATCTTTAGAAGCGTGGGTAAAACCGCGTGAGAGTAGTTAGTATTTTAATACATACCTTAAGTTCAGTGGTCAACATGAGTATATGTCGGCAGGGCAACCGGAATACTTTGCTGAACAGGCACGAGCACTCCTGCGTCGACGTCCCGTACTTACAGATGGCAGCACTGCTGTGTTTCCTGTAAGTTTCGAACACATTTATTCGGGAAATGAGAGCGTTCAAGTATAATAAATGTTGATGCAATCCCACTGCGATCATACATATGCATGTGCAATGCATACATAAAAAAAATACACTCCGGAATAGGACATAGCCTGCTTTTTTATCTACATACCAGGCAGGCGAGGCCGCGAGCGGTAGGTAGTGTATGATACTTAAATGTATTTTGAATTCGTGGCCCGGAGATTAAGGCTCCTCATACCAAGTACCAATGTGACTTTTTCCGAGTCATATATACTTTCTATGATTATTTAGACTCCACTGACATACGGTGAAGGAAAACATCGTGAGGAAACCTGGACTAATAATTTCTAATTATAAGTTTGAAATCGCCAATCCGCATTGAGCAAGCGTGGTGGTTAATGCTCTGACCTTCTCCGTATGAGAAGAGGCCTTTGCTCAGCAGTGGGCACTTATAGACTGATGATGTGGGTTTGTTTGTACGCGCTTATCTCGAAAACTATAGGTTCGAATTGGAAAAATGTTTTTGTATTGGACAGTCCCTTTAACAAGGAAAGCTATAGGCTATACAACATCACGCTACGACAAATAGGAGCTGAGTAGGATTAGCTAGTTTATTAGATAGATATACTACAATTTACCTGCCGGCTCTATCGTCGAGGCATTTCTGCGCCAACTTGGTCTGGTGAGACATGAGATTGTAAGCGTATTGAGTGATGGTATCCGTCGGCGACTGTTTTAGTGTCTCCGTGTCCTGAAAACACAAGTTTTGTATTTATTATTATATTAGTATTTCTACGGAGGAGAATCAAGTGATTTTTAACTATTGAGTAGTGTTGAGGGTTAAGGGGAGACACTGAGGAGGGAATGGGATAGTCGAAGAGTGAAGGGGAGACGGAGGTGTGAAGGGGAGAGTCGGATGAGTGAAGGGGAGGCGGAGTGAAGGTAAACAGGAGCCACAGGAAGGAGTGAGGCCTCAAAAAGCCAAGAGCACCACAGACAAGGCCCTATAGGGCTCATGTTCAGTCGGGGTTGCGGGGTCGAGGCCTTGGCCCAGAGTAAGAGTCTGACACTCCCTCTTTACCCGACCCTGGGCGGGAGAAGTCATTTGATGATTTTTCTTTCCACAAGAAAAGGGTGAAGTGAAGGGTATAGTGTGAAGAGAGACAGGAGAAAGGGATTGATGGTCGTCCTAAGTCGGGTATCCTACACCCGTGGCAAGAGTAATGATGGTGATAAAATATAATTACTCACCCGTAACCTACTGAGTGCGAAGGTCCGTCTATCGTTCTCGAGCTGATTGGCTACATTGAAGAATATGGAGACGAACTCGTCCAGCTGAAGTGGATTCCGGACTAAGTTCTGGAATTTAGTTACTAGACGTTCTAGACCCTGGAAGATAGAAAAATAAATAGTATTAATTATTATATATCTACACTAATATTATAAAGAGGTAAAATGTTTGTAAGATTGTATGTAGGGGGTAATCTTTGGAACCACTGGTCGGATTTCCAAAATTCTTTCACTGATAGATAGCTACAATGTTTCTGAGTGCTATAGGCTATAAAACATCACGCTACGATTAAATAGAGTCGAGCAGCGAGTGAAACCGCGCGAGAGTAGCTAGTTTTTTATAAAAACATTGCCGCACACTAGGTTTTTCTCCTGTGTCGTGTCGTGTGTGCGTTTACAAACATACAATGTCACATTCACACCACACCCAGGAATCGAACCTGCGACACGTTGCACGACAGCCGGTTGCCCAGCCACCGCGCCAACCATGCAGTCATTAAAGTAGGTATTCGAAGTAACTTTTTCAACAAACACGTATTACTTGTGGGAGAGAGCCATGCTTCGGCACGAATGGGTCGGCTCGACCGGAGTGATACCACGGCCTCACAGAAAACCGGCGTGAAACAACAACAGAGTTGTGTTTCGCCGTGTGAGTGAGGTTACCGGAGGCCCAATCCTTCCCTACCCCAATCCCCAAATCTCCAAATTCCTTATCCCCAAAAGGTCGGCAACGCCCTCGTAACTCCTCTGTTATTGCAGGCGTGTGAGGAGGTTACCGGAGGCCCAATCTTTCCCCTACCCCAATCCTCCAAATCCCTAATCCCCAAAACGTAGGCAACGCACTCGTAACTCCTTTGTTGTTGCGGGTGTCCATGGGCGGCGCTGATTGCTTACCATCAGGTAATCCGTCTGCTCGTTTGCCGACGTATAACATAAAAAAAATTACCTAACCCGGGAATTGAGCGAAATAAGTTACCTTATGAAGTATATTAGTGTAATTGTCAGCTTCAAGCCAGGAGTCCAGCTTGGCTATGGCCCCGTTGGGCCGAGATAGAATCTCCCATAGACGCAGTGTACCGGCTCCTGTTCCTATAATACTGCGCTTCAGTACCTGGGGATGGCAAAAAATAAGTTTATATCCTTTTATAAAAAGATGCAAGTGTGGGACAGCTTTTCTTTTAAGTAACTTTTTTGGTATGGTCTAGTGTCCATTGGTAGCATCGATTGCTTACCATCAGGTAATTCGTCAGGTTTTTAGCCAATCTATGACATAAAAAATATGTAAGTACATAATGTAGATTGTTTCTTAAAAACGTTGCCCTACAATAGGATGTTCTCCTGTGTCTGTTATTTGGTGATTTTCTCCTCACAAAAAGAACTGAGATTGACGCAAAAACAATTAGTGGATCGAATAGAGCGGGCTAAGGTTGAAGATATAATATAGAGACCTGTAGTTGAGTGAGAGTGTGGTCCCCCCTGAGCAGTGCGAGTGCGTATGTCTTGCACCTGGCGGCGAGGTCGGGCAGCGGCGGGGTGGCGGGGGGCGCGGCCCCGGCGCCGGGCTGCGCCCCCGCGGCCGCCACGTGGCGGGCCGCCGCGCGCGCCGCCTGCCACACCGAGCACGTCACGTGCGCCGACGGAAACGCCGCGCGGACTGCCTGCAACCATACCGAACCAATATTTTATCATTATTTATGTACAAACTTAAACTTAAAACTACCATTACAGTTCCTCAATACGATAGTTTAGTGAACTTAACTATCTATACTAATATAATAAAGAGGTAAAATTTGTATGTACACTTAGTAAAAGATAGCTTTATCTCTGAGACAGCTGTCAGTAAAATCGCGCCTATGAAGTTCTGAATTTAACAGTACGGAGAAACGTACCTGTCAATGTCATACTTTATGGGCATGCTGACCTAATTAGTGATGAGTGATGAATCATCGTGACCACAAACTATAAACTATCGATATTTTTTCTTATTTCAAAATTAATTTATCATTTCATTTTATTGTATATTTTAAAATAATAACATTATTTACAATAGTGTGTAAATAAAATTTAAATAGTAACCTACTCATGTAAAATTCTTTCGACAACTTTGGGTTTCGGGACATTCTGAAAGTGATTCGGATATAGATTTGGGGTGTACTCCTTTGGAATAAATTTATTTTAGATTAAAATATTCGTTTCAAAAATAAATTAATTCGACGTTTTAATACAATAAAATATTGAAAAATAACTATACTTTTATTCATCGATCGATCGATACACTAAGTTTTAGATATTTTTTAAAAAATACGTAAGCTATTTGACGCAAAAATGCTATGACGTCATAATTCAATGTTTCATACAATTTTCATACAAAAGTCTTATTTTTGACATTTGGATAAAAGTATTGAATTTGACTAGTTGGAAACAACCGTATGAAACATATAATTTTATGTTTTTTTTTTGTTTTTTTTTTTTCGTTGGTAGTGGTGAAGGATACACACGTGCTTTTATCGGTACTACGATTGTTGTCAATTCTAGTGATCTTATTCATAGTGATCTGAATTGAGTCTTTTGTGTTGTTTTATTGTGTGTGTGTGTGTGTGTGTGGAATTTTAATAAGGTATTTGGTAATTTAAGTTTTAATATTAAGTGTTTCCTTCTTAGACTTTTTTCCTCTGTCCAAGATGGACGAGGAGAAGCCTCCGGACCCCCCGGATAAATCCCCGGACATTAAACCACTTTTAACCGTAACTCTCCCCAATGACAACCCTGATTTCGAACCAATGGACTCCGAATCACCATCTAACAGAAAGAGACCAGCAGGCTCCCCCCCTATCTCCCGCACTAATCCCCCAAAAGTGGTCAAAAGTGTCAATGGTAGGCAATGTTACACTGTTAAGGACAACCCCCCATATATTGTGTATGTCTCCCTTAAGGACTCCCAGAGGTCTGGTACCACTCTCCATCCAGTAAAGTTGGGGATGTTCTTAATGCGGAACAACATATGCAATATTAAAATTGGTGGTGTAAAACGGCTAGGAAGAAACAAAGTTTCAATAGAATTTCTGTCGCACCAGGATGCCAACAGTTTTTTGGTGAATTGCGTGGTGGCACAAAATTATATTACTTCAATCCCTCAGTCACGAGAATGGGCATAGTAAGGGAAGTTCCCGTTGAGTGGTCGGAAGAGGAGATTATCAGCAACATCAGGGTTCCTGCGGGATGTGGTGTTGTGATAAAAGCAAGACGAATGAACCGGAAAGTCTCTTCACTAAATGGTACAGAATGGAAACCTACCCAGACTGTAGTCTTGACCTTTGATGGCCAAATTCTACCTAAACAAGTGTTTTGTTTTTATTCTGTTCTCCCTGTAGAATTATACTCATACCCAACAATACAATGTTTTAACGGTAAACCTTCGCATTTCTGTACTACCTACAGTTAATGCTGAGAACGCATTAGAGTGTTTTTCCAAATTTTCCGATATAATAGCTTCCACAGCTAAAGACTGCTTCCCAGAGAAAACCACTCCAAAAGGAAAAATCCCCTCCCCTCCTTGGTGGGATAGTGAATGCACTGCCATGATAAAAGCTAGGAATGAGGCTGAAAAGACATATAACCACGATATGAACCTGGAAAATCTCCTAAACTTCAAGCAGATATTGGCTAGGGTCAAGGTCAAGGAAGCTGTTTAAAAAGAAGAAGAAACAGGGTTGGCGGAGGTTCTGTAGTTCTTTGAGCCCGTCCACTCCGGTGGCAACAGTTTGGCAGAGGGTGAAAAACTTTAGGAACTCCTCTAAACCTCCTTCAATTTCCATCTTACCTGATAGTCTAAGTCATAAGTTCTTTGCCAATGTTGCTCCTATTTATGTTCCCAGTGAAGACGAATGTTGTTGGGAATTGTGTGAAGGATCGCATGACCCCCTCGACATGAAGTTCACAATGGAAGAGCTACAAACGGTACTGAGCCACGTAAAAGACTCTGCACCAGGTATTGATGGATTTCCTTATTCCTTCCTATCAAAAGCAGGAACCAAAACCAAACAGTTCTATCTTGACTTGGTAAATTTTTGTAAAACAAAAATTTATTTTTTCTGGCTATATTCCTCCCATCTGGAAGGTTCAGGTTGTTATGCCGCTGTTGAAAGCTGGTAAAGATCCTGGTGATCATTTGTCTTACCGACCTATTGCACTATCGTCCATACTTTTAAAAATTTTTGAACACCTCATAAAGAACCGTTGAGTGGTCGGTGGAAGGCCGGAGGCTGCTGCCGGCGACTCAGTTTGGCTTCAGAAAAGGTCTGGGTACGGCTGATAGTGTGGGGACCCTCACATCAGCCATCAGGCTGGCTCTTAGCAGGGATGAGTCGTTGGTTGCGGTCTTCCTGGACGTTTCATCGGCTTATGACTCTGTTCTCCTACCCCTTCTCAGGCAAAAGCTGCATAAGCTGAGAATCCCCAGTAGGATTTGTCAGATCATAAGTCACATCCTCTCCAACCGCACCCTCCAATTGAGAACTCCTGAGGAGAACCCTGTTCAGAGATCCGTCTGGAGAGGTTTATCTCAGGGATCAGTCCTTAGTCCCATCCTTTTCAATATTTACACACATGATCTCCCTTCCTGTTTAAACTATAATTGCAAAGTAACTCAATAGTAGATGCTGCCCTCTCCATGAATGTCTCTTTGTCCTCTTTAAACCAATGGCTACTTAATCATGGGTTATCTTTAAGCGCACCAAAAAGCTCGGCAGTCATTTTTACGCGTAGACGCCGTCCTCCTGACCCCCTCATAGAGGTAGACGGTCAAGCTATTTCTATTACGAACAGTGCTCGATTCCTGGGAGTTACCCTGGATTCGAGGATGTCAGGGGTGGATCACGTGGACAGTGTTGTCAGAAGGTGCGAAAGATCTGTATCTGTACTCAGAGCACTGGCTGGGGTATGGTGGGGTGCCAACCCCTACACATTGAAGCTCGTTTACAATGCTTTGGTTAGAAGTGTAATCGATTATTGTTGCTTTCTTATGGCACCATGCAATAAGGAAGCATTTAAAAAGCTGGATTCCATTCAGGCCAAATGCCTAAGAATAACTATTGGAGCTATGAAATCATCCCCCATTAATGCTCTACAAGTCGAATGTGCAGAACCCCCCCTCGATCTTCGGAGACAATACCTAGCGGACCGTTTCATTTCAAAAGTCCTATCCCTCTCAACACATCCCCTACTTCCCGATCTTGGAACAGATCCATTGCTCCTATAGTCCCTCTTCATATTGGAACAATAAACCAGTCCCTCCTGTGATTGTTAGGTATAGGGAACTTAAAAACCTCTCTGCACCCATCAATCAATATCCTGTGCTCCCGGTCTTTTCTTCCGCATATGAAGTTATCCACTTCAGGCCAAGTGTTGTCTTAGAACTAGTCATCACAAAATCTTCAGTACACGCTAATGACAAATTCAAACGCGCGCTGAACAATTTTTGGAGAGGCTGGAATTTGTTTTACACAGATGCATCCAAACTGACTCCTAATGGATGCACGGGAGTGGCAACATATTACCAGAATTCAAGAATTGCTTCACTCGCCAATTGTCCGTCTGACGCCTCTGTGTTTACTGGAGAATGTACTGCCATTTTGGAGTCTATAAAATTTATAAGAAGTCACAACCTCAATAATTCGGTGATCTTCTCAGACTCCAGAAGCAGTCTTCAGGCTCTTTGTCAGGACCAGCTTCATTCCCGAACATACAGTGGCTTAATTGTTGAAATTAAGTCACTGTTGTTTTCGTGCCAAAAGGATGGCCTCAAAGTTGAAATCGCTTGGATCCCTGGACACTCTGGTATACGTGGTAACGAATGTGCGGATACGTTGGCAAAGTTTGCGGCCTCGAACAATGTGAATCAACAGCATCACGTTGTATACGGGTATGATTTACGTGCGGACACAAAACGCAGGCTTTTCGATTCTTGGGCTGCAGTGTGGGTAGACACTTCCAAACGGAAAGGAGTCTACTACTCCAATATCCAACCCAACATCCAGCGGAAACCTTGGTTTTGCAGATATACTAAACTCCCCCGACACACTGTTACGACTTTGTGCAGGCTCAGACACGGCCATTGTAGCAGTCCGGTCTTCCTTAAAAAGATCCGTGTTCGTGACAGCTTGCTGTGCGAATGCGGTCTTGATGAGGGTACTTTGGACCATATTTTCTTTTCTTGCCCCTTAAACTCCCAATCCTTCGACCTTTACAAAAAACTTCCCAATATCCAAATCCCCCTCCCCATCAACTTCCACTCCCTCTTAACTCACTTCTCTTACAAATTAATAAAATGTCTATCCAAGTTTATTAAAGATAATGATATTAAACTGTGACGGTGTGTAATATTATATTATGGTATATTTATACGTATATTTCAGTTGTGTATGTCCTATTTATCCTTATTATATAATGTAAAGTAGAACAGTATAAAATAAGTAGCTATAGTTTTACTAACCCATGTGTTGTCCTTTCAGCTACTAACAACAAACTACCTACCACAAAGTTAAAGTTCGACGGGCCCATAATCTGCCGTCACTACTTGACACTGGCAGTATAGTCGACAACATTAAATTGGAGACTCGGTTGCCATAAAGAAGAAAAAAAAACATATAATTTAAGCATCGATAAGTAAGAAACGTCGAAAATTACTATCGATATTTTTTTGTACCATGACAACCCAAGGAATGTCAGTTTGACGAATGTCGCAGAGATCAAGCTATCTTTTATAAGGTATCTTTCTATCTTCATAATCTTTGGAACCGCTGGTCAGATTGCCAAAATTCTTTCACTGATAGATAGATACAATGTTCCTGATTGCTATAGGCTATAAAACATCACGCTATGATTAAATGGAGTCGAGCAGCATGTGAAACCGCGCAAGAGTAGCTAATAATTTATAGAATCAACCGTTACTTTGCGGAAATTGCCATGACATTAAATGTTATGACAATAGTTGCAATTTCGCGACTGCAAAAAATCCAGACTTGTTGCAGAATGCAATTTCACCCTATGCAATCATGCATATGCACACGTGTAAAAAACGAAAAAACATGGCACGCAATCAAACCTAAACTCAACCCTCCACATCTTCAAGAGATGTTGACTCAACAAAAAAGTCTCTCACTTGTCGAAACACAGCATTTTTGTCGCCGAATTAAAACTATTCTTCATAACATTTAACTTATTTAATTATCATAAGCTATTTTTTACATGTAACAACAGGTCGACAAACATACAGACAGATTTACTGATGGTAAGCAATGAGCGCCGCCCATGGACACCCGCAACAACAGAGGAATCACGAGTGCGTAGCCGACCTGATGGGATTAGGGATTTATAAGATTTATGGATTGAGGGAAAAGAAGAACACGGGCTCACAGAAAACAGGAGTGAAACAACCACGGTGTTATGTTTCGCCGAGTGAGAGTTTACAGGAGGCCCAATTCTTCTCCCCTCCCCCATCCTATATCCTCAAATAACTTATCCTTAAATTCCTAATAACCCACAAGAGGCCTTCAACGGCACGACTGTCCGTTCGTCTACTTGTTTGATGACCTACCCCATAAAAATATGAATATATCATTGTTATCTCACCTGTTGACACTTGGTAGGATCGCAAACAACGCATCTGACCTGCCTCCACGCTGGATTACAGGATTTGAAAGTATCTAATAACCAGGTCAGATCTTCACCGATCAGGGTTGAAATACCTGGAGAAAAATTGTAATAAATTATGGTGTTGAGGAAAGCGCCATCTATTAACAACGGAACACTGATATGCGCCTGCGCAACTCCGACAATCGTCAATCTATGCCGTTAGTAAACGAGAGATGGCGGTGAAGAACTTCGGCTTACAACTACACACTTACACCCGGTTTCTGAAAGGCTTGTCAACGCTAAAATTAACTAATCTCCTGTTAAATCTCTTGTCAAGTCATCTGATTGGTTGTTGATAATTCAGTCAACCAATCAGATGAATTGAAAAGAGATTAAATTGATTTTAACATTGATCGGCCTTTCGGAAACCAGGTGAGAGTGTGTTCAGAATCTAACATTAACGCCTGATAGAAATCACAATCCCTTAGGTCTTATCATGTTGGAGTGCTTTAATATTACATCAGGCGCCTATTGTGCGGGTGTCTTCGCATAAAGTTACCCACATCGTTTTTTAATTTATTGTAACTTTGCTTTTGTTGGGAATACAGCCTCCTTTACTGATACGACCTAAGTTTTATTTTTCCTGGTTAATCATTCACCGTTACAGAGCACAGCTAGTTTTAAATGAATTTAGACTCAATATTACTATTAAAAAAATAAAAACTTACCAGCACTGACAATAACAGATTTGCCGTTGCCATCTTCAGCGAGGAACAGAGTGACATTGTGCTTGAGGGAAGGAGTGCCCGTGCCTCCCACTGTCGGTATGGTGCTGTTGAACTCTATGCCTGTAATATAAAAAATATTTTTTTTTAAATTCACAGCTAAAGGTAGTATTAGGTATAAGAAGTTTCTTTCTTCTCCATTTGAATCTACAATTTGGAACGAGCACCGGCTGACTGCCAGACTATTCTATTTTGATGTTTCATACATATGGTATATCTCTTGTTCATTGTTTAGTCCTATAGGGCCCTATAGGGCTGATGTTCAGCTGGGGTTGCGGGGCAAGAGCAATGAGCACCGAGACCTCGGCTTAGAGCAGGAGAAGGAACGGGGGAAGGGTGTTAGTCAGTAAGAGTCTGACACTCTCTCTTGCCTTACCCTGGGTGGGACAAGTAATATGATGATTTTCCCCTGACAAAAAAGCCTCAGGCTAGAACAGGATAAGAAACGGGGACGGCTTTAAGACAGTAAGAGTCTGACACACTCTCTCTCGCCTCACAGGCAACCCACTAGTTTCTAATATTGGTAAAAGGAGAATATTCTTACCGGTTTCAATGCATAGGAACTGAGGCACTGCATTGAAAGCTAGTTGCATGCTGGGTGTAGTTAGATATACACACTGTATGCAACCAGTTGGAGAGTGCAGGAGTTTCACGCCAGCGTCTGTAAGATAAAAAGACAAATAAATATATTACGTGTGCTTAAATCTTTAAAACTACGCAACGGATTTTAATACAGCTTTTTTAGTAGATACTAGCATTTGCCCGTGATTTTGTTCGCGTGGAATAATAGTGACTTCCTGCAGATTTTTGGTTTAAAAACTATCCTATGTCCTGTCTTGAGTTCCAAACTATGTCTGTAACCACAAAAATAGGTTCAGTAGTTTAGGCGTGAGGAAAAGACAGACAGACAGAGTTACTTTCGCATTTATAATATTAAAATATCAGTTTGGATAGTTTGGGTGAGTGATTAAAGAAGGTTTTTATGAATAATAACAACCGTTACATATCATAGACTTTAAAAGAGATAGACCTCTTTAGTTTGGTTCGGCATTTCTTTTCAGTAACAGACAGATAAGAAATGTCGGCTTCATCTAGTTTGTTGTGAGTGCTGTTTTATGGCCTATTTGCCAAAATCGATTCATTGTTTTTTTGTATTTGCGCCCGTGTACGCGAAACGTAGGCGGCCCGCACTTAATTATTCTAAATTAAATTATTCTTTAATATTAAAGTAAATTATTCTAAATTAATTATTTGAGTAGCAGCGCGACAGTCGCTGCGTCGCGTGTCACGGAATGCTGCTCATGAATATGGGCCTCTAGCATGGCTTGAAACTAGTCGAGTATCTCGTCAAATTATTACGTGAGTAAGCCGAAAACATAATAATTAAAATCGTAGTGGTAATGGAAGTGTTTAAAATGGTTACTCACCATAGTTCAACTGTAGTTTCCGCACCACAAAATCATATTTCTGGTTGAGCCAGCGCACTGCTCCAGTACCTGTGGCCACTAGTTGGTCTTCATTTGTAACCACTTGCGGTTCAGGGCTGGAAGTAATAGAACAATATAAATTATTTCCTCATTTTTAAGACATAAGAGCTATTGGATGGCCTATTTGCAAAAATAAATTCATTGTTTCATTGGATTACCTGATGGTAAGCCATCAGCGTTGTCCATGGATAAATGAAATAACAGAGGAATTGCAGGTGTTCTAAAGATAAGAGTCTTTGGGTTATGGGGAATGGGGATATAAGACACGGCGAAACACAACGTTGTGGTATTTCACGCCGGTTTTCTGTGAGGCCGTGGTATCACTCCGGTCGTGCAGAAGCTTGGCTCTCCCACATTTGAGAAGAATTAGTATTTTTCTTGGATGTTGCGAGTGGATACACGACTCGTTTTGGTTTACTCACATAACTTTTAAGTGGCTCGACCGGAGTGATACCACGGCCTCACATAAATCCGGCCTGTAACAACCATAGCGTTGTTTTTCACCATTGAGTGAAGTTATCGTAGGCTCAATCCTTCTCATGTCCTCGTCTCGACTACGTACCTACTTGTATCCATGTTCGACGCCGATTGCTAACCATCAGGTAATCCGTACGCTCGTTAGCCGACCTACCCGTAAAACAATCAATTTGACGAGGTTTTTGAGCCCCTAGTTAGCAAATGTCGTTCGTCGCATTATTTTGTTCAAGACTATGAGCTCCCGTATTGCTTGAAACTAGTCAAGTTAACTTGTAAATGACTTACATACAGAATAACCTACTACACTGTAGCATGCTTAACCAGATTGCATATTAAAAAAAATAAAGAAACTATAACATAAGAACCTACTTCTCCGTAGTCTCCGCAGGTGGGTTCTCAATGATGGCCACTTCATACTCCTGCTGGCCGTCCACTTGTGTGCCGCTGCTGAGCTCAAACTGTTGATATGTATTCTGTTGTTCTTCTACTGGTTGCTGGAAATGTTGAGAAATTGTTTTAATTACATGTTAAGTGTTACAATTGTTAGTTGTGGTGGCCTGGAGGATAAGGCGTCTGCTTCTCATGCATTAGGGTGCAGAATTGAAACGTGGCATGTACCAATGTGACTTTTTCCAAGTTCATAATTATTTTCTTTGAACTTATATGCACTTTCTATGATATTTTAGATCCACTGAGAAACGATAAAGGAAAACATTGTGAGGAAACCTGGACCTATCTTATCGCCCTTATCGCCTATCTGCCTTGAGCAAGTGTGGTGATTTGCTCAAACCTTCTCCGTGTAAGAAGAGGCCTTTGCTCAGTATGGGCACTTATACATTACCTCTACAGTAGCGGAAGATTTGTCTTTCATAATTTTCTGTTGTCAAAGGCTAAAGCAGGTACACACACTACAACTTCTCTCACAGGCTTGTAAACCATAACAAAAGTGTCTTAAGAGAAAGGATATTGGTCATTAAGAATTTTACATGAGGATTTTCCCTTGTGAAGCGCCTGAGAGTTTTTTGTTTTTGAACAGTGAAAATCATATAATTACTGCTCTTATCTTGGAAGCAGTAAGTGTCTGCAAAGGGTTTGAGCAAACGAAACATGCCACAAGGCGATGACTTCACATAGGAGACTGGTGTCGGCTTGGAGATTTTTACTCCAGCCACACTTAAAATCACACTTCCACACTCTTAGACTATATTTGCCAAACAGCTATTTGTTATGATAAATGATAGGAGCACAGCACAGTCATAATTGGTTACTGCCAGATAAAGACTGAGCCATTTTTCATCAATCTTAGCCTTTTTATATGTATACAGAATATGCACTACAGCACTGTTTATATCATAATAGTTTCAAAATGTTTAGGATAAATTATAAACCTTTTAATTTAAAGAAAATCTATTTAGAACATAGAGCTACACTGAGCGCTTAGTTTATTTTAATTTAATTAATTTTTAGAGGAATATAAAATATGGGCCATGAAAAATAGGATGCCAGAGACCCTCAATACAATGATGGCAGAATCAAAGAGGTTAGTATAGTAAGCCTATATTTCAGAGGACACACTGATGACTGATGGGCAATATATCATCATCATCATCATAATCATCAGCAGGAAAACATTATACTACAGGTATTTACTGCTGGATAAGGGCATCCTTAGTTCTCCATGTCAGATGGCAAGTCACTACCCACATCCATTGGCTCCTCATCACCATATTGATGGTGGTCTGTTTATTTTCAGAGAACCAAGGAATACTTTATACTGTAATCCACCCTAAGGCTACCCACTGACTGTAATATGCACTACTTTTCTCTATTTTTGACAATGGTATCTATGAACATCATATAAAATACTAAACAATGACTGTAAAAACGAAAAGTTGATAAATAGGTTTTCATCATCAGCCTTTAAGTGCCCACTGCTGAGCAAAGGCTCCTTCTCATACAGAGAAGGTTATAGGACAGTCTTTTCTACTTCAATAAAATATCAACAATCTAATTCAAGAATTGTGTAAAATTGAGGATGTATGTTTATCACTCTTTAATGCAAAAACTTCTGAACAGATTTTAATTAAATTTGGCGTAAAGACAGAATAATGTTTGGTATAACATATGAACTGCTTTTAATACATGAACTATGGTAAAGAAAAGTAGAAAACTAGTTTAAAACAAACTTACAGTGGTCACTTCAGTGTTGCTCTGCACAAAGTTAGCACCTTCTTCCTCTGGCTCTCCTTTTACGTCATATATTGTCTCTGCCATCACGATCCTTCCCGAAGAATCCATGGTCCACATACCACCGAATGCAAAATTCGAAGGATTGCCACTTTGCTCGTAAAGTATGACTGTGTTTGGACCCAATTGAACTGGTTCCCCCTTCATGTTCACGAAGACTGGCTGCTCGAAGTTACCCTCAACCAGCTGCCCCGTGTGCACAATCTGCTGACCCTGCTCCACTGGAACTTCCACCACCTGATTCACCACCTCAACCTTTTCTTTATCCTCGTTCTTACGGTTCACCATTATTTTTTGTTTTTTCTCACCCTCACCACTCTCATCACTTTTCCTCTTAATCACAGTTTTCTTTTTATTTTTCTTGTCCATTTTTATTATTGTTTTTGTTTAAATTTAAACACTAAAACGAGCGTTTCGACGCTAAATATTGTCGTATATTGTCGGGCGAACCGCCTCGCCCTAGGCACGACATTTTAACACTTTTGTCAATAATACAAGCTTATATTAAGTCTTATTTCATACAATAACGTACAATAACATTATCTACTTTAAATAAACACAGTATTTTATTGTTTTGTTACCGGATAATTGAGATAATTTCAAAATTATGCCAGTGGGAAAAAGACAACTCAAAAAGAAGCCATTTTTAAATGGCGGCAAGCTTTTTTCTCTTTCTTGCAGTCGTGGCATCCCTTTCTCCAGCAAGAGTTTCGTTCTGAAATGTAGTTTAGTAAAGTACGATCTACAAATTTTATTGTTCATAAAATAAATTAAAATGTTTCAAATAATTTACATGTGAGCTTTATATTTATAATGTTTTCGTCAATAGTACAAAACTATGAAAACTGATTTGAAAAATAATTACAAAATGTAACTTTTTATAAGTTCAATCATGCATTGATAGTCTGTGATCCTTTCCGTCATAATGACTTTGGTTCGTTCTAAACGTCAGTTAGTCGTCAAATAACCTATATTTTTTTGTATTATTGTTACGAAAACAATAACCTTCGAGGTTAATTACAATCATTATTTATGTGCGATAAGGTCATACAAAACCAGTTTACATGCTTATCCTCAACACACTTACGATTTTGCTACAAGTAGCGTTTATAGTGTCTATGTCACTGCTGTCCATGAATATAATCCGATATTTTACTGGTGGTGTTAAAAAAATGGCTTTAATTGCTCCAGCTATGTTCGTTAACCACGGAGGAGGCCCTATGCCGCTTTTGGGAGACAAAGATCACGCAGGACTGACGAATTTCTTGCGAGACGGTGTCCAAAAACATTTGAATTTAAAAGAGATAAAAGCTATTATTCTTGTGACTGCGCATTGGGAAGAGAGTGTTGTGACAATATCTTCTGGTAAACATCACGATCTATACTTCGATTACTACGGATTCCCGCCAGAAACTTACAAGTACAAATACGACGCTCCCGGAGATCCGGCTCTTGCGGAAAGAATTCATCATACGTTGAAAAAGGCGGGAATAAATTCGAAATTGGATTCGAAAAGAGGTTGGGACCATGGAGTTTTTGTGCCAATGATGTTGATTAATCCTTCAGCCAGTGTTCCTATAGTACAAATCTCAGTGTTGTCCAATCAGGATCCTGAACAACATTACAAGCTTGGGCAGGCATTATATGAGTTTAGGAAAGAAGGTGTAGCCATATTAGGGTCTGGAATGTCCTATCATAACATGAGAGAATTCATGTTAGGCCGACACCAATCATCGGTAGTGAACAAAGAATTTGATGAATACCTGAATAAAGTATGTACTGCAGAGAGTGAGGCTGAACGAAAAGAGGGATTATTGTCTTGGAGACAGCAAAAAGGGGCTACGGAAGCCCATCCGATGAGGGCAGCTGAGCATTTCATGCCGTTGATAGTAATTGCGGGCGCTGGGGGCTCCAAACCTGGGCAGCGTATCTTTAATTGGGACATGAGTGGTGTGTTCCGACTGAGTGCCTTTGTGTGGAAAGATGAGTGATTGCTTTGTTGTAGAAAATGAAAATTCTAGATTAAATCAGCACTTCGCAAAATATTGTTTACATAAGCATGATGCAGGCATTTCTTGTTATTTCAAGTTGGTTTCATACCTAAAAATATTATGAATCAATTAATTATAAAGATATATCCAACTAATATTTTTTATTTGAAAATTTGTGAGAATGTATGTATGTTTGTTATTCTCTAACACAAAAACCACTGGACCGATTTGGTTGAAATTTGGTGTGTAGATAGATGATACCCTGGATCATAGCTGTTTTTTTTTAACATACCATGTGGGTGAAGCCGCGGGTGGAAGCTAGTGATGATGTGATGTTATAGGTAGGTATAATGCAATATTTTGAATTCCTCAATCAAGTGGTTTTATGTATTTTTTCCGCATTTCATAACTTTTTGAGCTGGTACAAAACCAGCAACTTCATATGTTTATGTTGAAATTGTAATTGTTTTGGTTTGCAAATTGTTTTTTAAACTACTTGGTAAGATAAAGCTTGGTCACAAATAAGTAATTAAAATGAACAAGATATTAAATTTTCACAAAAATATTTTTTTGAATTTGATTTTTGTGTAAATATGTTATTGCTTAATTAACTAAAATTATGCAGAAGTCTTCATGTGTAAATAATTTTATGCATAATAAAAATAACTCCATTGTGAGTAAATTCATCCAAATGTAACATTTAAACAATTCACTTTTTTTTTGAGGTAAAGGTATATTAATTCTAATTTTTAAATCCTTATTTATTTGATTTTAAATTATTAAATTATCGAATTATGTTGGTCCTGTAGGTAGGTATTTTTTTTTTATTGTTTAATATTTTTGTAATATTTTTTTCTATTATTTTCTGTTCTGTTAATTCTTAGTATAAATTACGAACTCTGATTATTTACATGACATGTAAATAATCAAACAATGAACATAAAAAAAAAGAAAATCTCTAAATTTTTTCATCAGTCTTCATAACATTTTTATCAGCATCTTCGTTACTTTTGGCAATATTTTTAATCTGTGGCACAATTTAATTTACCTGAGTATTTTACTGAGAGAAGCTGTACTATACTAACTTTTAAACTTTAGCGATTCATGTTTACTTACAACATAATAATATAATTGCGCGGGAATTAACGCGAAAAGTAGGTACGTAATTATTTAAATTCCTTGGAAAGCTTGACGTTTCGACCTGACCTTTTTAAATAATTACTTTTCGCGTTAGTAATACCTAACCGCGTAATTGGGTAGTTTCCCAGGTCAAAAATAAATTAATTCGACGTTTCAATGCAATAAAATATTGAAAATTAACTATACTTTAATTCATCGATCGATCGATCGATACACTAAGTTTCAGATATTTTGTAGCTTATTATTAAGAAATAAGTAAGCTATTTGACGCAAAACAAAAACGTTATGACGTCAAAACTTCGTTTTTCATACAAATTTCATAGCAAAAGTATCGTTTTTGACATTTGGATAAAAGTATTGAATTTGACTAGTTGGAAACTACCGTATTATATGTTGTAAAAGCTCTACTATACTAGTTTGAAGTCACAACGGGACTTTTATTCATGAGCAGCGTGCTAAGAGAGCTTTTCTCATTAAATTACAGTACCGCCAATGTACCTTGGCGAGTCTGAAGTTAGCCGATTAGCTGCGCAGTACACAAGTTTGTTCCTAAAAGATCCATTGCGCAGACAAACGGCTAACTTCAGACTCGCCAAGATACGACGGCCGTATAGTAACTTATAAAGTAATTTATTTTTAATAATTTTGTAATGTAGTTATGTCGCACGATAGTTACTTTTTTTTCTATTAATTTATGAGCAAAACCTATATGTTGATATTAGTACACAGATGCAATGAACTTTTTATGATTAAGGGACCATTTATTACTTAACAATATTTTGTTAAAATAACAACAATTAGATGTAAGAGTTGCTTATTTTTAAGTACCTAAGTAAATTATTATAACATTTTATGAAAAAACAAATGTTTTTATTTTTGCGTTTGTTCTTTTAATATTTTATTACTTACCAGCTATTAAATTTTGCATAAGGGACAAGCAGAGTATTTTTTTTGGGAGTGGTAAATCACCAAGTGGCAGTTAGTAGGTATACTTTTACTGACAAGGGGGAAGGGGGGGGGGGGGGGCTCCTTCTCCTGCTTTGGGCTTTTTTTTTTTTGTGCGTGGAATATCATCAAATGACTTCTCCCGCCCAGGGCCGGGCAGGAGGGAGTGTCAGACTCTTACTGACTAAAAACCCCCCTGTTCCTTCTCCTGCTCTGTGCCGAGGTCGCGGTACCTCATTGCGCTTACCCCGCAACCCCGGCTGAACATCAGCCCTTTAGGGCCCCGTCTATGGTGGTCGAATGGCTCTTTGAGGCGCGCGCGGAACGCTACGCGTCGTACGCTCGGGCCTGGTTCTGGTCGGGCGGCGAGCTGCCCTTACTCGCCGACCGCAGGCCCGTGCTTACGGTGGCCGGAGATCGTCCCTCGATCCCCGACGCCCGTAGTGTCGCCAGTTGCGGCTGCTGAGGCGTGAGGAGGAGGATCTCCTGCTTTGGGCTGAGGCCGCGGTTTCTCTGCTGTCTTTGAGGTGCGCGCGGAACTGTCTGGTTCTGTTTTCGAGCTACCTACCCTTATTCGCTGTCTGCAGACCCGCGCTTAGGGTGGTCGAAGATCGTCTCTACATCCCCGACGCCCGGAGATTTTTCATAAGTACCCCTAAGTCAATAGACCACCACAGACGGGGCCTTATAGGGCTGATGTTCAGCCGGGATTGCGTGGTAAGCGCAATGAGGCACCGCGACCTTGGCCCAGTGCAGGAGAAGGAACAGGGGGGGTTTTTAGTCAGTAAGAGTCTGACACTCCCTCTCACCCACGAGAATTCATTTGATGAATTTTTGATGTTGGCGAATTTTTCTAGTATTTACCTATTCATCCCTCTTCTGTCTCTATTTACCCCTCGAATTCTATTCACCCCGTTTCACCGTACGTCCTTTTTGTGGGTTACCTACTGGGGATTAGGTTAGGAGATTTGAAGATTGAGGATGGAGGGAGACATAGGTACATGTATTGTATTAACAGTCTGCACGCATAGCATAAGAATGTGACATCCTAGAAGGATATCCAGTATGTCCATGGGCGGCGCCGATTGCTTACCATCCGCGTACTTGTTTGCCAAGCTATCCCATAAAAAAGGCCATGGTGGCATTCCGGTTGAGTGCCAAACCATAGCTTTACGAAGTAATTTTTTTTTTTGAACAGTCCTTGATTGTGTTCAGCTAACCTAGACGATATTTCTTGCGTGGCATAATTTAATGAATCATTTATAAATAGGTAAAACTACGCAACGGATAAAATATCTATAAATATTCATAAATGTATGTACCAAAGGAAGTCTCTAAATACCTAATTATTTATTGTAGCGAAGCTACACGATCCCTTTATTAACTTACCTTTATGTAATAAAATTATAACCATTAAATTATATTAAAATTATAACGAGCTAGATATTCCATACCTATACCTACTATGCACCCGCTCCTGTTGATAAAATATAAAATACTTACGTTGATTCGAGTGTGGGAGAGCCACGCTTCGGCACAAATGTGGGCTCGGCCGCAGTGATACCACGGCCTCAGAAACCCGGCGTGAAGCAACACATAGGTACCTAATTAGATACGCTGTGTTTACTCTGTGGTACCTAATGATTTTCCTCACAGAAAGCCACTCAGGTTCGTTCGTTTTCTTTTTGCTCAGCAGTCGTGCACTTCATAATAAATAGTCGTGTGAATTGATTTTAAATATTCCTCAGAGTAAACTAAGGGCAAGACGCTAGTCTTAAATTGGTTAACTTAGATCGTGACAAAGCTACAAACTTACACATGCGGACGGCGAAACCCGGAACTAATAAAAGCTCGTAACAAAATCACAACAAAGGCGTATCTGTCACTAAGAAACTAGCGCCAATAACAATTACACAATTAAGTTTGTTACAAAAGTAGAATGTGGAATGACAAGTACAAAACAGTAATTATTTACATTTGCTCACTCATCCTGAGATAACATCGAGTTGTGTGTGTAATATTACGCAAATAAAACAATGTCGATAAATAAATTAATCTTCTCAACATTCACAGTGGTAATATTAAATTTTATAACAATAATCAAAATGGAGGACGTGTATTTCGCGCCATCGTTGTTTTTGAATCATGGCGGCGGTCCGTATCCCGTTTTGGGTGAAAAATACAATTTGGAAATAGCTGAGGCGTTGAAGAATGTATCGAGTTACGTGGATTTGAGTCGTTTGAGGGCTATTGTGATAGTAACAGCGCACAGAGAGGAGGATGTGGTGACAATTTCATCGGCAGAACGACATTCCTTGCTTTACGATTATTACAATTTCCCGCCGGAAAGTTATACATTGAAGTATAATGCACCAGGTTAGTTACTAAATTCATTTATTATGAAACTAGCTTTTGCCCGCGACTTTCTTCGCGTGGAATAATGACTTCCTGCAGATTTTTGGTTTGTAAACTGTCGTATGTGCTGCGTGTACTTGAGATATCGAGTTCCAAACTATGTCTGTACCAAATTTCACACAAATATGTTCAGCAGTTTAGCCGTGAAGAAAAGACAGACAGACAGACAAAGTTACTTTCGCATTTATAATATTAGTTTGGATGAAATTACTTAAAGTTATTGCTGTTTAACTCTAACCTCAATGGAAAATATAGGATTTTTAATATTATTTTAGGGGGAAAGTCATCAAATGACGTCTCTTGCCCGGGATTAGGCGAGAAGGAGTGTCAGATTCTTACTGACTTAAAACAACGCCGTTACCATTTAAGCCCTTATTTCATGGGTGTCAAAACAGACTTGCTACCAGAATAGTAATAAAGGGTATTTTAAAACTGAGACCCGCACAGAATTCGAATCATTATCACAAATTTTATTGACATACAAATTAAATCATTAGGCAAACAGAACGAATAATAATATCTAATATCACAGCTAATATGGTGAATGATTTTGACAACTAAATAAAAGTTTTCTTTTTGCGTTTTCCAGGAGATCCAATTTTGGCAGCAAGAATACACGAAGCGTTCAAAAACGCGGGAATCGAGTCGCGCTTAGACGATCAAAGAGGTTGGGACCACGGAGTTTTTATACCAATGATGTTGATAAACCCAAAAGCGGATATTCCTATAATACAAATATCTATCTTGGAAAACCAAAATGCATCTCAACATTACGAAATAGGAAGAGTTTTGTACCAATTTAGGAAAGAAGGCGTCGCCATATTTGGTTCAGGGTTGTCATATCACAATATGAAAGAATTTCGTAAAGCGAATCCAGAAATTGAGAAAATTATTGTTAACACTGATTTCGATAGATTTTTGAATGATGTTTGCACTGGTGATGAAGAAAGTAGAAAGAAAATTGTGTTTTGGGAGCAGGAGAAGGGGGCGTACGAGAGTCATCCTTTGGGAGAAGCTGATCATCTCATGCCGCTGATCGTGAACGCGGGGGCCGGCGGAACGCAGAAAGGAAGAAATATTTTTGATTCTGTATTTTTGGGCAAATTCAAAATTAGCGGATTTATTTGGGATTCGTAAAGTTGTATAAATTTGACTGCATAGTGTGCACGGAACAACTCTTTGTATGATCCACAAACTGTTGTTCCGTGAGTCTGGGTGTGATGTGTATGTGACATTGTAGGTTTGTTAACGCACACACGATGCAGGAGAAAATCCAGCGCTTTTTAAGAGGCCTTTGCTCAGCAATGGGCACTTATAGGCTGATGATGATGATGAATTAGATACTAAAAAAAAAAATCTGTAATTTAAAGTTATGTAAGTAGGTACGTACCAACCTATGTGTAGCTGTCAAGAATCTTTTGTAGATAATAAAGAATAAAGGTAAAGAGTATTCCAGTCTATAATCTATCTCTGTGCCGTATTTGATTCATATCCTTTCAATAGTTTATTTTACTTGAAAGAGTAAATAAACATCTATATATCCATACTTACGTACAAACCCAAAGTTTTTGCGTTAGTTAATAAATACCAACCAATTTATTTTATGTTTACGCCACAATACGGTAGTTTCCAACTAGTCAAATTCAATACTTTTATCCAAACGTCAAAAACGATACTTTTCTATGTGTATGGAAACCTGAGTTATGACGTCATAACATTTTTGCGTCAAATAGCTTACTTATTTCTTAAAAAATAGCTAAAAAAATCTAAAACTTAGTGTATCGTTCGATCGATGAATAAAAGTATAAATATTTTTAGATATTTCATTGTGTAGAAACGTCAAATTAATTTATTATTGACCTAGGAAACTACCCAATTCAAGAACGACTTTAGAACAGCGTAGTTCATGTATTAACCTAAGTAAAAAAACAATATTTGTACAATAAAATATTCAAACATTTTATTTGTTAAATTTCATCATTATCCAAATGTAAGCGCAGCGTTGTGTTTCGCTCTATGAGTGAGGATACCGGAGGCCTAATCCTTCCGTTTCTCCATCCCTAAATCCCCAAAACTCCAAAAGGCAGGCAACGTACTCGCAACGGGAGGCGCTGATTGCTTACCATCAGGTGAAGGTGCATACATTTTTGCCACCCTGTCTTTTCAAGAGGCTTTCTTCCTGGCACAACTGGAACTGTAAACCATCGTCGGTCGTATTTTCGAACCTTCAAGAAAAGGGAGTGCTCCTTCTTAAAAGGCTGTCAGTGGGTGGCGCCCATCACATTTTTTTATTAGTGTCCGCTTTTAGCAGAAATACTTCAGTATTTTTTTTAAGGGGAATAATATATCATCGCGTTACTTTTCTTTTATCTCGCCCAGGGTAACGTAAGAGAGACGTATGTATTAAACAGACTGATTATAAAAAAAAAAACAGTAACTACTTGTTATTTATAAGTTCTTTATTTCATAGGTAGGTAGGTATAAGAGTATTTCAACATAATACAAAAATGTAAACAATAGGCATTAGTAAATCGTTATAAAATTATTCATAATACTTAAATTCAAAAACTAATCCCAAATAAACCCACTTATTTTGAATTTTTGGGCGTACACAGAATCAAAAATCTTTCTTCCGCGTCCCGTTCCACCGGCCCCCGCGTTCACGATCAGCGGCATGAGATGATCAGCTTCTCCCAAAGGATGACTCTCGTACGCCCCCTTCTCCTGCTCCCAAAACACAATCTTCTTTCTACTTTCTTCATCACCAGTGCAAACTTCATTCAAGAAGTTATCAAAATCTGTATTTTCAATAATTTTATCGTTTTCCCGTTTGGCCCTTTGGAATCCCTCTTCGTTATGGTAAGAAAAACCTGAACCAAATATGGCGACGCCTTCTTTCCTAAATTGGTACAAAACTCTTCCTATTTCGTAATATTGTGATGCATTTTGGTTTTTCAAGATAGATATTTGTATTAAAGGTATATCCGCTTTTGGGTTTATCAACATCATTGGTATAAAGACTCCGTGGTCCCAACCTCTTTGGTCGTCTAAGCGCGACTCGATTCCCGCGTTTTTGAACGCTTCGTGAATTCTTGCCGCCAAAACTGGATCTCCTGGAAAATGTAGATAAAAAATTTAGTTGGTAGGTATTTTTTTATATGGGAGTTACCTATTTATAATTATTTTTCTATCTATCTACAAGCCGTAATTATCTAAATAACTTAATAAATCCGAAACTAATAAAAAATTGTCTGGACGCGACCAAGTTTGTCCCTATATCCGTAGTCAATGTATGAGACGGGTGGTTTAGCGCTAAGTATATGACACGACGACGCCAAAGTTATATTATATTAGAGGCAGTCATTATCTATTTATAGGTTTATCCTTGTACAAAAGTATATTAAAGTCAAAGTCAAAATTTATTTCCATTGGACCCTTAGACACTTTTGAACGTCAAACAAAGCTTCAAGATAAAAAGCATCAGTCAGACGGTCAGTCCAGTCCTCTTAGGGCTGATTTGTCAATAATCACATAAATGTTATCTAAGAGATAAAATTTTTGCTGTCACTGTCTTATACAAACATTGTGACGCGACAGCATCATAATGACTACCCAGATAACTTTTAGATAACCATTGAAAAATTAGCCCTTAGTGAAGTTCAAGCTATTTGCTCGTTTCAATGTAATCTACACTTTGCTATGGAGAAGAACGAGCAACAAACTCCATGGTTAACTACTCTTTTTCAATCAGTTTCATAGACTTTTTTTATGTGATAATATGGCTAATGATCAGACTTATAAATGTTCAAATCCTTAATCCCCAAAAAATAGGATACGCACTCGTAACTCCTTTGTAACGAATGCTTACCATCAGGTAATCCGTCTGCTCGTTTGCCGAACTATCACATAAAAAAAATAGTCTCTAACTGACCAGTCCCAATTGACGGCGCCCGTTCACGAACACGACACGTACACCAGCACCCGTTTCGTTCAATCTTCATTAAGTTACACAAACTAGAATACATTAGTTTAAAAGATTGAATTACATTTAAACAGAACATAAAGAAGATAATTGTTATGTTATGGCGACTACAGCAGACAAAAACTCGATAAGTTCGAATACATATTTGCATTCGTAATTACATTTCACATAATGTTGGATAACACTACAAAACTATTATCTGGCTTATATGTATAAATTAATATACCTTTATACAGGCTCCGCCTTTATCCGATATTATCCTAAACTTTTATTTTGGATTCGGTTACGGTTGCAGATATTTTTTTATTGGACTAGCTACTCTCGCACGGTTTCACTCGCGGCTCACATATAATCGTAGCGTGACGTTTTATAGCCTATAGCACTCAGGAACATTGTAGCTATATATCAGTGAAAGAATTTTGGCAATCCGACCAGCGGTTCCAAAGATTACCCCCTACATACAAACTTACAAATTTTACCTCTTTATAATATTAGTATAGATATCCGATAGTTTTGGTTACGGTTACGGAGCTCTCTAACATCCCTGGTAATTACCAATGCAAATAATATCTATTACAATTTTTGTCTACTGTAGCCGAAATAACGAATAAACCATATTATTATCTGCCTTTGTTTTGTTAGGTAAGTAAATGTAAGTACCTAACTTCATATTTTAAATCAAAAACAAAAGCCCAAAAAAAATTAAGAAGGTTCCTTTCTTTCCGTTCGCGTCAATTATCATATTTTTTGATAAATTATTAACCGTAAAATCAATGAATGATAGTCAGATATTTTTTTATTATTATTACACTGAATATTAGGTAAACAATACGGTACTTTCCAACTAGTCAAATTCAATACTTTTATCCAAATGTCAAAGACGATACTTTTCTATGAAATTTGTATGAAAAACTGAGTTATGAGGTCATAGTTTTTGCGTCAAATAGTTTACTTATTTCTTAAAAAATAGCTTAGTAAAAAATATCTGAAATTCGGTGTATCAATCAATCAATGAATTATAGTTTTTTCTATATTTTATTATATTGAAACGTCGAATTAACTTATATTTGACCTAGGAAACTACCCAATAGGGATGTCTCCTGGGTTAAAACAACAAGATTCTAATTAGTCCGTCATTTAGATTATAGAAAAATACTCGATACGTATTTGTCCATACGAATAATATTGAGAAAGATACAGCACATTCAAATTCCGAACTAGGCGCTCGTGACGTCACTCTTTCGTAAAAATTTTACGAAATAATGACGTAGCGCGAACTTTCGCCGCTCTGTAACTTTGTTATTTTAAGTTTTAGAAGCAAAAGAAAAAATAATCTACTATTTTCTGGCGTTCTAAAAGATGGACTAATTATTATTTTTTTGTTGTCATCCCTATAGTAAAAAAAAACAAACTTAACAAATAGGTTGTTAGTAAAAAACCTACTTCAGTATTAAAAAAAAAAACATACCTGGGGAATTGTACTGGTACTTATAACATTCCGGCGGGAAATTGTTATAATCATAAAGCAAGGAATGTCGTTCTGCCGATGAAATTGTCACCACATCCTCCTCTCTGTGCGCTGTTACTATCACAATAGCCCTCAAACGACTCAAATCCACGTAACTCGATACATTCTTCAACGCTTCAGCTATTTCCAAATTGTATTTTTCACCCAAAACGGGATACGGACCGCCGCCATGATTCAAAAACAACGATGGCGCGAAATACACGACGTCCTCCATTTTAATTTTTGTTATAAAATGTATTAATATCACTGTTAACGTTCCAATGAATAATGCAACTGCATTTGTCATCTGTTTTCCTCAATTAAGACAGTTCAATGTGACCAGAATAAAATATTATTAAACTACTATTTTTAATAAAAATGAAAGTCTGTTGAGAAATACCAAGTTATAAAATACGTCGTGTGTGGCGCTAGCGTCTTTGCAGAAGGACTGAGTGATCGCATTTTAATAAGCGCCTCAATTAGTTCCAATGTATGCCGTCTGCAAATGGTAATTGGTAGTTTTATTGTGTAGGTACAAAGTTTCTATGTAGATAGCTGTAATGAATGACAAATAACAATAGTTATATACTTTATTAAATTGGTTATCGTTACAAATATTTATTTAATTTTATAGCATTTCTATCTCACAAGACTTTAGATCACTGTCATTGATAAATTTAATATAATTTATATAAAAGTTTGTGAGAATGTATAGATGTACCTATGTTTGTTTTTCTTTCACTCCTTCAAGCGAATTCGGTTGGAATTTGTTATGTAGATAGTAGATGGGAATGGGAATGACTCCCCCGTCCAGGGTGGGGTGGGTGGAAGTGTCAGACTCTTACTGACTAAAACCTTCCTTGCTCCTGCTCCGATCTGCTTCTCCTGCTCTGGGCCGAGGCCGCGTCTGTGGTGGTCTATTGGCTCTTTGAGTAGAACGCGGAACGCTGTGCGCCGTACGGTCGGGTCTGGTTCTGGTTGGGCGGCGAGCTGCCAAGACCTATACCCTTTTTTTTTTTTTTTTTTTTTTTTTGTGAGGTGAAAATCATCAAATGACTTCTCCCGCCCAGGGCCGGGCAGGAGGGAGTGTCAGACTCTTACTGACTAAAAACCCCCCTGTTCATTCTCCTGCTCTGTGCCGAGGTCGCGGTACCTTATTGCGCTTACCCCGCAGCCCCGGCTGAACATCAGCCCTTTAGGGCCCCGTCTGTGGTGGTCTATTGGCTAATTTGAGGCGCGCGCGGAACGCTACGCGCCGTACGCTCGGGCCTGGTTCTGGTCGGGCGGCGAGCTGCCCTTACTCGCCGACCGCAGGCCCGTACTTACGGTGGCCGGAGATCGTCCCTCGATCCCCGACGCCCGTAGTGTCGCCAGTTGCGGCTGCTGGGGCGTGAGGAGGAGGATTGCTCCCTCACGCGGGCCGCCTCTCTCTTTGCGAGCATGACCGCTTCACAAAAGGAGGAGACGGCGTCCCAGTTCCTCTCACTCCGCACCATGGCCTCGACTAAGGCCGGGCGCGAGAGGTCGCCGCCGCCGATCACTTCCCTGAGGATACGGCGGGGCTCAGCCCAGGCAGGGCATACCGCTACCGTATGCTCCACCGTATCCTCTAGGTGGTCCTCACAATGACGACACTCGGGCGTTTCCTCCCGCTGAATCCGAAACAGGAACCTACCGAAGCTGCCGTGCCCGGTAAGCACCTGCGTCAGACGGAAGGTGAGGACGCCGTGGCGTCTCTCAAGCCACTCCTCAAAGAGGGGTCTTACCGCTGCTATGGTAGCGTGCCCGGCCCTCGGTTGCGACAGTCGTTGTCTCCACTCTGCCATGAGATCTCGCCGGAGCTCATTCCGCCACGCATTTATTTGGCGCGGCAGAGGATCTTCGCCCCGGCGACGCGCGTCTGCGCGCAAACTGTAGACGCGCGCGAGCGCCTTCGCTTCTAGATCCCACGGCGGTGATCCGGCAAGGAGGTTCGCCGCCTCCCCGGAGATCGTGCGATACCCGCGGATTACTCGTATAGCCATGACCCTCTGGGACGCGACCAGCGTACGAGCCGGCCGCCGCTTCAAGTCCGGCGCCCACACAGGGGCACCGTAGAGGGCCATGGATCGCACAATCCCCATATACAACCTCCGGCAGGAGGCGTTTGGCCCCCCGAGGTTGGGAAGGAGCCGCTTGAGCGCGGCCCCAGACCGTTCCAACTTAGGGGCCAAACGACGAAAATGCTCCGTGAAGTTCCATCGGCTGTCGAGGACGAGACCAAGGTACTTCATCGCCGACTCGACGCCGATGGTAACTCCTCCTGCCGTTACTTGGGACCCACCTGGAGGTGGCGCGCTCCGACGGCCATAGAAGCACATGGCCTCGGACTTGTGGAGCGCCACCTCGAGTCCCAACTGCCGGATCCTTGCAACGACTGTCGCAACCGCTTGTGACATCAGGTCGGCCGCCGCCTGATGCGACCTCCCGTTCGCCAGCACCAGCGTGTCGTCAGCATAGCAGACAATGCTGACGCCGCTCGGGAGGTCGGTGCGTAGCACCCAATCGTACCCGATGTTCCACAGGAGAGGTCCCAGGACCGATCCCTGTGGGACACCGCGCGACACCTCTCGCCGATTCCACACGCCCCGGTGACCGGGGTAGATGACGCATCTGTCCGTCAAGTAAGCCTCGACTACACGACGGAGATAGGCAGGCACCTGGTGATACCGGAGTGCCTCCAAAATGCAGCTCCAGGGCAGCGAGTTAAAGGCGTTGGCGATGTCCAGAGACACCGCCACGACGACTCGCCTCCCGGCCAACGCTGTCCCCGTCGTGAGGTCCCTCACGCGCATGATGGCGTCCACCGTGGAGCGCCCTCTGCGGAAGCCGAACTGGCCGTCCGCTAAATCCGGCCCCCTTCCAGACAGGTGCCCGACGAGGCGGTCTGAGATTATCCTCTCGAACAGCTTTCCCACCTCGTCGAGCAGCACAATGGGCCGGTACGCGGACGGAGAGTCCGCAGGACGCCCCGGCTTCTTCACGAGGACCAGTTTACCCGTCTTCCACGACAGCGGAAACTGGCCTCTCTCCAAACATGCGCTGAACAGACCAAGTAGTCGAGGCCTGAGAGCCTCCGAGGCCAGGACCCAGACCTTGGCATGCAGCCCGTCAGGTCCTGGGGCGGTATTCTTGCCGCTCAGCCGGCGCACCGCCACTCTCAAATCTACCTCGGTCACTTCCGGAGCGGATTCGTCGTCGTCGTCGATGTAGCCCGCATTGGGCACCGCAGGGGGCGGGGGCATAGCCGGAGGCGTGTAACCCATCTGTGGTCGGGGGAATAGCGCCCCAACCACTTCGTCCACGACCTCCGGCCGGAGACTCTGAGTCAGTGGGGGCGCCCAGGTGCGGAGCTTATCACGCACCATCCGGTAGGGGCGTCCCCACGGGTCTCTGTTCAGAGTCTCCAACATCTCCTCGCGGGCCCGATCTTTGGCCCGCCGGATCTCCACCCTGAGGGTGGCCTTCGCCGCCCTGTACTCCTCGTATAGCTCCGCCTCTCTGGTTTCAGCGTCCAGAGGGCGGAGACGGAGCCTGCGGTGCCTGGTGTATCGGCGTCGCGCTGCGGTGCACTCACCGCGCAGGTCTGCCAATTCCTGCGACCACCAATACACCTGGCGCTTGCGTTGGCACGGTCGGATCCGGGGCATCGCCACGTCGCACATCCTTGACATGGCGTCCTGGAGCCATCTCGCCTCCTCGTTAATGTCGGCTGGCCTGACCGGTGGTATCACCCAGGCCTGCACGACTGCGGCTTCCAGGAAAAGCTCCCGGTCCAGTTGCCTAAGCGCCCAACGCGGGCCACACGGAGCCTGTCTGACTGGCGGGTCTGCGGACTCGGCGGAGACGTCGAACCGTATATACCGGTGGTCCGAAAACGTCTCCACCTCCTCCATGACGCGCCAGTCAACAACGCGCGATGACAGAGCGGGGCTAGCAAAAGACCTATACCCTGGATTAACACATAGGCTTTAATAATACATACTTGTTATTAACAATAAGGACTTAATATATTAAATAAAAATATATTTAAGAAAAAGTTAAAAAACCAGTCGTTACAGATATTTAATGATTTAATTGAAGGTATCTGAAAGTTCCCACGGCGGGGCACGCCGCTATAGCGGCGGTAAGGCCAATTCTACAGGAGTGGCTCAATAGGAGCCACGGCGCCCTCAGCTTCCGGCTGACGCAGGTGCTTACCGGACACGGGTGTTTTGAGAAGTACCTGTGTCGCATAGGTCGGGAGCCGACGTCTCAGTGCCACCATTGTGGTGATTGCCGCGATGATACGGCGCTGCATACCTTGGTGGAGTGCCCAGCTTGGGCCGAGCAGCGCCGTGACCTGGTCGCGGCCGTAGGTGCTGCGGGAAATCTCTCGCTTCCGGCTGTAGTGTCTACTATGGTCGGGAGCGAGTCAGGGTGGAGTGCCGTCGCTATCTTTTGCGAGGCCGTGATGCTCGCAAAGGATGCGGCGGAAAGGGAGAGAGAGGCTGCCTCCTCTCTCCCCTCCCGCAGCAGACGCACTAGACGTCGTAGAGTGGCCGACCTGCGGCCACCGTAGGGCGCGGCCTGCGAACGACAGACTCGGGGCATCTTGTCGTCCGACCAGCAGCAGGCCTCGAGGCGGCGGCGCCGTGTTCCGCGCGCGCCTCATAGTGGAGTCCTGCGGTAACATAGGTTATTGGAGGAACACCGGGTTGGTTTTTAGTCAGTAAGAGTCTGACAGTACCCCCCGACACCAAAAAAAAAAGGTATCTGAAAGTTAACTTAATGAAATCAATGAAATCTAATTGTATATTGTCATATCTGTAGTGTCATTAAAGTGTGTGTAGGTACTTATGTATCCATAAGTTAAATGAGTGCACAGTGTTCGCCAACAAACTGTTTCTTAGTTTGGCGAAATTATTAAGTTATTAAGTATCACTTTCTTTTATAAATAAAAAAAAACGGCTTTATATTAAAACGAAGCGTTTATTTGAGGTCAGACTCCAGTCGAGCCGACCCATTAGTGCCGACTTCCAAAGCATGACTTTCCCCCACTTTGACTGACTAGTTACGACCTCCATCGGGTCTTAAAATAATGAGCTCGTGCGCGGTAAATTCAAGACCTACTAATGAAATTTACTTTTTCAATTAATTTATTACTATCCTATACAAGCTTTCGCCCGCGGCTTCGCTCGCGTATTATGTTGATAAAAAGCCAGCCCACGTATGCAAATTTCAAGC